ACATGAGCATTTTCTGAAATATGCTGAATAGAATTTTAGGTCTCTCGCATGAATCATCTGGATTCTGTTCTTCAAAATAATTTTGTATTTATCTGATAAAGATAAAAATATGCAGATTTAAAAGACTAAGTAACTGTAAGATATTTTACTTTTGTTTTCCATTATGGAGTGAAACCTGCCAATTTTACTTATTTATAAGATAATCTGAAATGGAATTTGGAGAAATATGAATTTATAGGGTCTTATTTTTACCCATATGCCATTAAGTACTTTGTAAAATTTAAAGGCTCATAAAAATAAGCCATGACTCAAATCCCAGGAAAGACAAACATTTCAGAAATGAAATCTAATAAATTAAAATTGGAATTTGCTTTTAGGGACTGCAAACTTTAAGCTATGAAAGACCCTATATAAAATTGTATCAGTGTTCGTAAAAAATTTTGGCTATTAATACATATCCTAGAAAAATAATAGCTAAATTAGTTTTAGATATTTTATAGATTAGTTTTGTGCAAATTATTTTACAGAACATTTTTTAATTCTTCTGAGATAATATATACAGTTGAACAATTCAGGGGAGAGGACATCTCTCTGTGTAGCTGAAAATCCATCTATAACTTTTGAGTGCCAGAAACTTAATTACAGTTGTCTCTTATGAGGGGTGTTGATTTTAGGATATCCAACCCCCAGGTGCTCAGTGGCTTCGTAATTGCAACTTCGGAGCCACAGTTCTTTGTGCACAGATTCCAGGAAATGATACCCATAGTTGGTGGGGTCTGTGGATATGGAGGGACAACTGTACTTACTGAAGTAAGAACCCATGTGAGTGGACAGAGGGATAGCCTGGCAGGTATGTTGTTTTGATGTGCACGTGGCCAATCTGGAGTCGATCCCTGGCATCCCATACAAATAATGAGGTTGATACACAAACTCATTTGTTTTAATGGGCTTAAGTATTAAAAACCTCAACGCAAAATTTTGTTATGTAAAGTCCATTTCTGTCAGTTTTCAGTTGAATGGGAAGCAGGCATATAACAAAAACTGAGCATACAATTAACCCATTAACTGCAACTATTTTGTTAATAATACTAAGTACAGTTTTAGAGAGACCAACTTGAATCTTTGCTCCTCACACATGCTCAGAGCAAAGACAAATCCCTTTTTCTTTGGGATAGGGCCTAGCACAGTTCCTGCTCACAGTGACCGTGGGGAGGATCATCACAAAGCCAGGACATAGGTATTAACTTATAATGTGAAAAATATTTAATGTTAAAGTTAGAACTACTCTTATTTTTTTCTCAAAGTAGTAAGTAGTGAAAACATTTTAAGATGCCCTCAAAGAATGATTCTAATGTTGAAATAAAGTAGATGCTTTCTTATACTTCACGGTTTTACTCACAGCACACATATTTTCCCTGTGGTAATATTTTTAAAAGAAATTTTAAGAAAAATTTACTTTTTTTGTAGTTTGGATGTATTATCCTTTTGAATTTGGATCAACTATTTTAAGGAAAGGAAGCATCCTGTAATGATATCATTTGAGCTAAGCCAATTTCTTCTAGAAGCAACAACAACAAAAAAAAATCTGCCAGATGTTGCTATTATGAAACAGTGATCTAGTATTTATAATTCTTCTGACACCTGGATATACTGGCATAAACAATGGCTTTTTATATGATGAGGCAGTTCTAATTTAAGATCAGTACTTCATCTGTTTTCTTTGTAACTCTATTAGTGCTAATGGACAAGTCTAGGCACATTTCCATGGACTGCCTTTTGGCATTCAGTAGGTCAGAAATAGTTAATGAGTAGCAAACATGTTCTACCCAGGAAAATTTCACTTGCTGCTGTGTAATTTTGTACCTATTTTTAAAAATTTGCTGTTGGCCTGGCTGTTTTGTATCCCTGAGAAGCCGAGGGCTACCCTAATTCAAACTGTCTGGTAAAAGCCCTGTCATGTAGAGCAACAGTGTTCCCTTGAAAGACCTTCAAAGAAGGCATTTTCTAACACCTAACCCAGTATGGAGGGGATGATGAAACATTACCTTATAACTGAGTCAGAAGCACTGTCAACTGTAGTTTTCTACAGTTTTCTGTCTTTAAATGAATAAATGTGTCTTACTCTTGGCTCTGCTCTCAGGAAAGCTGACACCTACTCTGGCCAGCATCTTTCATACACTGCAGTTAGGGGCCGAGGTTTACCGTGCCCTGACTTTTCTGCACGTAGGTTATTATGTATGAGGTACTCAGAGGAGGTTTAGGTAAATCAAAACATTTTACTTTCATTGGGCCACACCTGGCACTGTTTGGGGGACCAGGCGGTGCTGGGGATTAAACTGGGGTCAGCTACATATAAGGCTGGTGTGTTGGTGTCTGACTGAAAAATTGTAACATGGTGCACTTAGGTTTGAAATAACACTAGAGTTCTTTAGACCACAAACGGTTTTCATTAAGTCAACTATTGTTTTCAATTTCAGAGCTAACTGGTTTATGTAAGTATCTGAATTTTAACCCATTAAAACATTAAACACCTATCACCAGTTCCTTTATATAGCTTTACATTTCTGTGTAATATATTCTAAAAATAATAGGTACATCATTCAATTTTCTTCCTCCGCCCTTCATCAGTATTCCCGACTGTAGGGTGGTTATAGGGTCACTTAAGTGCATGGGTGGCAGAGGAATTAAGCTTAAGCTTCATGCTTTCCCTGGGTGCATCCTCAACCACTGAGCGGCCAGCCTTCCTGCTTGTAGACAGCATGTGAATTTAAATTTTCAGTCTAGTGCTTCCTAGGCCCCTACTTCATTTGTTTTTAAACTACTTTCTTCATCACACTTAAGAGGACTGCATAATGCTATTTTATTCCATTCCTGACTGTTAGTACTCCCATTCATCTCTTCCCACTTTTGACAATAAGGTATTAAAGCATTACATTCCAGTAATTCTTGTTCCACTTGGGATACAATAATATTCCCATTTTGGAGGACAGCATGTCTTTTATGAGAACCTCTAATTTCTGACTGATTGTGAGTGGATTCTTCTGCTGACTCTTGGGGCTAGGTATGTAGAATTCTAAAAGTTGAACATGGGTTTGCAGCACATTTAGTAGTACTTTTAACTGAAACCAAATCATCCATATAAACTTTAGGCCCTGTAACCTTTCCCCAATTAAAGGAAAGAACTTTTAAACAAACACGAAAGGCAAGAAGAAGGATGAGATAGAATCAGGCCAGGAAACGTCATTAAATTTTTGAAAGATGGAAAATAGCAGTAAATGGGGGAAGATCAGAAGCAGCAACTAGGATGCCTGCAGGATGAAAGTGATCGGAGAAGGTAATAATTTGCCCCATAAACCCTGGAAGACTCAGGTATTAAGTGCTGAGTGATATGTATAAAGGCACAATAGTGAGTGGGCAGAAATGAGGACACAGCTCCTTTCTGGAGCCCCGAGAAAGTGACGAGAGCTTCATTCCTTAAAGAAACTGGATTGCGAGCTGGAGCGATAGCACAGCAGGTAGGGTGATTGCCTTGCACGTGGCTGACCTGGGTTCAATTCACAGCATCTCATATGGTTCCCTGTGCATCGCTCAGTGTGACCCAAAACACAAAAACAAACCCAAACTGGGTTGCTTCTGTTTAACTTTTTCAGGCACTCCACTCCAGGACTTCGCAACTTCAAGTGTCTATGATCTTTCCTCTGTTTCACAGCACTCCACTCTGAGATTATCTGCTTCTTTCTCTTTTCTTTTCTTTTTTTTGGGGGGCCACACTAGCTGTGCTCAGGGTCATTCCTAGTCGCACGTATGGGATGCTGGGAATTGAGCCCAGGTTGGTCATGTGCAAGGCACACGACTTATCTGCTGTAATTTTGCTCCAGTCCAGCCTGTGTTTCTCTTTAGAGCATGGATTTCTTTCACTTTTGGCCTTTCTCTGAAGAATTCCTCCTCCCTTAAAAAAACTATTTTACCTTTTTTTGGGGGGTGGGAGGGTATTGGTGTTGGGCATATTTGAGATTGGGATTTTCCCCCACAGCATAAATTCTCTTGAAATTGCTGCAGTATAAATCAACAATTCATTTCTTTTCATTGTTAAGTAGTATTCCATGGTATGGACGTATTTTAGTTAGGAGAGATTATGCCCTCCCCTCTAGTTTGGACATGGTATATTTGAAACATTTATACTAAAGTTAATTAGTGATAATAAATAATTGTATATCTTTATATATGTGTGTATATGTATATTTTTCTTTCTTCTGTAGGTTACCTGACCAGTTTTTTTCTATTTTGATTTATCTATATTTTGAGTGTATATCTTTATTTTTTTAAAGTAGTTGGTCTAGGTCCTAGCTTTTCAAACCATGAGCCATATAAACGAAAATTAAAGGAAAGTTTCTGAATGTCTAATGATAACAGACCATTGTCTCATCTTGTGACTGATATCTGAAGAAACAAATAGAAATTATTAAATGTTTTATTTAAGAACTTGAGGGGCTGGAGCTATAGAGTGCAGCGCATACAGGGTGCTTGCCTTGTACACAGCCAAGCTTAGTTACATCCCCAGAGTCCCATGTGGTCCCCTGAGCACTGTTTCATTCCCAGGAATCCACTCCTTTTTCTTTTGCTTTTTGGGTCACCGGTGATGCACAGGGGTTGCTCCTGGCTGTGTCTGGTGGACCATATGGCATGCTGGGACTCAAACCCGGGTTGGCTGCATGCAAGGCAAACACCCTACCCGCTGTGCTATTATTGCTTCAGCCTCCACGCCTAAGATTTAAATTTTATTTTTTTCTGATGTGGGGGCACGCTCAGTGGTGATCAGGAATCATTTTTGACAGGGATTGAAGTCAGGACTATAATATCTCCAGCCCCAATTTCAAAAATTCTATGGCTGACTCTATTGGAGTTTTAATATGAATGTACTGGGCACAATACCACAATGCTCAATAAATGCTAATTTTTTCTTTCCTTAGCATCAAGTTAACTCAGACTGATCTACTTACCTGGTGTACGCAGTCTAAGAACTGTAGGAAGATTGGAGCAAAACCACCACCCTGGCTGTTGAGGGTCAAGCTACTCCTCTGGCTGAACTTATGACCAAAAGAGAGCCATTCTTTTTCAATCAACATCCGGAAACCTTCAAGTGTCCGATAAAAGGGATCACTGAGTAACTGAACCAGAGATGTCACCTACGGGCAAAAGCAGGAGAATTACTCATTACTCTCAGAACTAAAAAAATTCTTTTGCCAAGACAAAGCATTTCCCTTCAATGATAGCTAACTTGCAAGCTAAGCTTCCTGAATAGCTTCAATTAACTTAATTCTGCCAACTTTCCAATAAAAATTAAATTCACTTGGTGACCTGTTTTCTTTTAGGGAACATCTTAATCATTACCTGGCCAGTTCAGTGATTGTGGTCTTCAAACTCAATGAAGCCAAAGTAGGTTTTTTTTTTGTTTTGTTTTTTGGGTCACACCCAGAGATGCATAGGGGTTACTCCTGGTTCATGCACTCAGGAATTACTACTGGCTGTGCTTGGAGGACCACATGGGATGCTGGGAATCGAACCACTGGGGTCGGGCCGCGTGTAAGGCAAACGCCCTACCCGCTGTGCTATCACTTCAGCCCCTAAAGTAGGTTGTAATGATATTTTACACCCAAATTTTTTCCTTTTCACTCTAGGACAGGGATTACAAGGAAAGAACTCAAGACCCAGGGGCCTTGGCACGTGTCTGATGCTGATGGTAAGGGAAACCTTGCATGAGACATCTGCGTATGGGAAACAGATGCCAGAGCTCCAGGTTATATAGGACTTGGAAGTTCATGGCACTGACCTTCCTGGGACTCCAAGAATTATTTAACAAAGGACTTTCTCAGTACATAAACATATTAGCTATTATATATTTTCAGATTTGGTATTTTAATTTATCATAGTTTACTTGTGTGGTGATATCCCAGCCTTCTTCCAAACAGACTAAAACTGAGGAGCCATTCTCAAGTACTTCTGATACAACCACAGCCAGCTGCAGTATCCTGTGAAGCTTAAAGATAAGAAAGGTCACAATTAGATCAAGAGTGTTCTGAGCATGAAAAACAGAGAGCCTTGCTATTAACCTTAGATACCCAAACAAACTAAGGATAAGTTGGATAAAGAAACACATAATGTTTTATAAAATTAAAGCTCTTCGTCAAAACCATGATTAAACAACGACACATTTTAAAACAGTGCTAATGAAATAAATTGACCTTACATGATTCCTTCAAAGTACAGAGTTATAAATCCATAAAGCAGAAAAGACAGATTTTAAATGTACTTGGTCACTGCACTTAAAATTTGTTTTTCCACATTTAGTAAGTTATATTTAAGATGGGCTGGAGCGATAGCACAGCGGGTAGGGCGTTTGCCTTGCAAGCGGCCAACATGGCCGACCCGAGTTCAATTCCTCCGCCCCCTCAGAAAACCCGGCAAGCTACGGAGAGTATCTCGCCCTCATGGCAAAGCCTGGCAAGCTACCCGTGATGTATCTGATATGCCTAACACAGTAACGATTGTCACAATGTAGACATTACTGGGCCTGCTGGAGCAAATTGATGAACAACTGGAGGACAGTGACTGACAGATCTTTCAGATACTTTTTATACTTCTGAAATTAGACAAAATGGATAGATGTTAACTTTTAATAATTTTTAATGGTTGAGAGCTTACTTGTCTATATTGTGTACTGAATGGGAAGAAAGAGAACTACTATTTTTGTGATGGCTTTTAAAGCCAAGCCAATTTACAGGATCCAAAATAAATAAGACTGCATAGATGTTAAAACCAAATATGTAATATGTCCTAAAACCTTTTTACAAAAAACAAAGTAATTTGTAGGATGAATTCATCTCAGAACTTTAAAAAGCACCCCTTGCCCCAATATTTCAGAGTGAGGCTACTTTAGAGACAGGAGCAAGGCATAGGTCCTCTCTAGCAATGGGCAGCACTTCATCACTGTTCATATGACACAAGTATCATCAAGTCTGAAATCTCAGCAACTGCCAACACCCCACGCTGGATAGTGCTTTGCACTGCTTTTGGTTACTAACCTCTGGTATTCATCCATTTTGGAATAGATTTACCAGAAACTCTGATAGGCTGGGTGACAGGGAGCTTTTGGGACTGTGACTCATAGTTTAGAGATCAATACCAAAAAGTTCCATGTACTTAAAATGTCCTGAGTTGCTTTAAGAATAATATATTTTGGGGGCCAGATCTTCTGGCATTACTCCTGGAAGTACTTGGGGAAACATACTGGATGCCAAGGATTGAACTTGGGTCAACTATGTGCAAGGCAAATGCCCTCCCCACTGTACTATCACTCCGGTCCAGAAGTAATGTATTTTGATACAGGTTGCAGCTAATTGTTTATGTGTGATTTCTATAGTCACTGCTGTGGGTATTTATATCATTTTTCTATGTCTCCCCTACCTTTGATCCAATGTACAAAAAAATGCCACAAGAGATACAGGAGGCATACAAGAGAGGGGCTCTGAGCTCCTATAGGGGGTAAAGGAATAATAGACAAAACCTCTGGGGCTAAAGGAAAGTAAAGGCTATATTATGGAAATGCTGTAGGCCAAATGTCTATATTAGTGCCTGCCTGAAAAAATGTGTCAAACATTTTTGTTTTCTTCTTTTTACTTTGACCATACCCAGCAGCGCTCAGGGCTTACTCTTGGCTCTAAAACCAGGGGACACTCCTGGCAGGCTCAGGGGACCATATGGGGGATCAAACCCGGTAGTCACGTGCAAAGCAAGCATCCTACCCATTGTACTCTCTGGTCTATTTCTGTGGTTTAAAAGAAATGTGGTGGATATATGCTGGCATACCCATTTCTTCTTAGTTTCATAACGAGTTCAATGAAAACATCTCAGGACATGGACAGGTAGAGACAAATGGAAATTGAAAAAGTAGGAGGAAAAAATTCTTGGAATCAACCGAAAATCAGTCTTTCCAAGAGTCTCAATTTGGTGACAACAGAGCAGAGCTCTAAGAGGTTCCATCTAAAAATGATAATCCTTCAATCAGCTAATCAGTGGCTGAATGAATAGCAGTACTCCTACATAAAAAAAAATAAATAAAAATGATAATCTTGGGCTTGAGAGATAGTACAGAGGTTAAGGTTAATTAAGATTAATTCTATACTGAACTGAAAGGTTTTTACAGAGAGGACACAGGAAAGCAGGAAATGCTGGGTAGTAGGGAATATTTCCACCTGCTGCCCTCTCCCCCCCCGCTCCAGTTTTCAAATTTGTATATCTTCATGGTTCTCTCTTTCATTGAATTATAAGACAATTACCTGTGGGAACCATTCAGAATCTCCCAAAGCTTTCAGGAAGGTCACTTCTGAGTCAGTAGGGATAGTGCTTGGAATACAAGCCCTCATGAGTTTTTTGAAACTGGCTTTTACTTGTCGGATGTCATGAAATTCAACAGGAACAAATTCACAATTTAAAGCAAATTCTAACTTGAAGTTCTGCGGATAAAGATACAGAGATTTATGAAGAAGAGGAGCTACAGTATTGTGCAAGAACAGTATTATCAACTCAGGAAAGTATTGATGTTGTACAGTTATTTAAATCAAGTAGCTTCAGAGGTTGCAATGGGTCAGTGCTGCTGACAAGAGTCAGGTATAAACTTATTTAAAATTTTAGAATTCCTGGAGTGACATCTCATACTCTATACCACTGATGGACCAGGAGTAGTACACATGTAAGGTAGAAGGCAACCGATCTTAATTTAAAATATATTAGCACACAAGGCTCCACCTGTAACAACATGTTAGTAATCTCTTATACAAGGGCTCAGTGGCTCCAGGATGAGGTACAAAAATCTTCACACATTTTTCTAAGGAAAAATGATCATTTTTAGAGAATTATTCGTAACCAGCAATACAAAATAAATCATTTAGGACTTTGAGTGGTGGTTGGAAAAACTCAAATGATGGTGGTGGGAAGGTGTAATGGTGGTGGGGTTGCTGTTGGAATACTGAATGTAGTAAATTATTGTGAACAACCTTATGAAAATAAAAGTATGTGAAAAGGCAAATGGAACAAACAAGAGTCAGGTGTAGAAACTTCGTTGTGCATGGCTTGCTCTCATTTGGAGAACTTGAAGGGCCTATAGGTAGGTTGGAAACCAATGGTGCTAATAACACCAAGAGCAAGTCAAGATGATGATACTGAAATCTAAGAGAGGTGAGGTATATGCAGGAGCTCCGGGACTGGCCCCCAACACTGCATAGTCCCCCAAGCAATGCTAGATGTGAATCTAAACCAACAACAAATGCAAAACAAAAAATGTTTTGTTGATTTCTAGCTTTGAGACCTTTTATTCCTTGAGGTACCCCCTCCCCCGCAACTTAGTTTAACCCATGAATCTATATGACTGTCATACCTTTATCATTTATATCTTTTTTTTTTTGGCCACACCTGGAGGTACTCAGGGCTTGCTCCTGACTTTGTGCTCAGGGATCACTCCTGGAGGAGCTTGGGGAAGTACATGGGCTGCCAGGGATGAAACCTGGGCAGGTCACATGCAAGGCAAGCACCCTACCTGCTGTACTATTTTTTTTGGCGTCACATTTATATCTTTGGGCTGGAGCGATAGCACAGCGGTAGGGCGTTTGCCTTGCACGCAGCCAACATGGCTGACCCGAGTTTGATTCCTCCACCCCTCTCGGAGAGCCCGGCAAGCTACTGAGAGTATCTCGCCCGCAGGGCAAAGCCTGGCAAGCTCCCGTGACGTATTCGATATGCTAAACACAGTAACAAGTCTCACAATGTTACTGGGCCCACTTGAGCAAATCGATGAACAACGGGAGGACCTTGACCATGACCGAGACATTTATATCTTTAGTCCACTAAGGTAAAGGTAAAGGCCCTCCCGTTGATCGTCGATTTGCTCGAGCGGGCCCAGTAATGTCTCCATTGGAGACTTTGTTGTTTCTGTGTCTGGCATATCGAATACTCTCGGTAGCTTGCCGGGCTCTCCGAGAGGGGCGGAGGAATCGAACTCGTGTCGGCCATGTTGGCCGCTTGTAAGGCGAACGCCCAACCGCTGTGCTATCGCTCTAGCCCTAATGCAAAATGAGTAATGCACTGGTGTTATTTTATTTTGATAACTGGTTGCCTTTTTCTGAAGATTTAAGTGTTTTTTTTTCTTTAACTTTCTGGGTCACACCCGGCAATGCACAGGGATAACTCCTGGCTCTGCACTCAGGAATTACTCCTGGCGGTGCTCAGGGGACCAATAGGATGCTGGGACTCAAACCCTGGTTGGCCGTATGCAACACAAATGCCCTACCTGCTGTGCTATAGCTCCAGCCCCAAGATTAAAGTGTCTCTAACTTCACATTGTACCCAAATTATTTTGTTGAATCATCTGCTTTTCTAAGTGTAAAACTGCTTGGTAGATGTTATATAACAATATGACCAGACAGACAATACACAAGTGAACTGTACATATTAAGATGGTACATTTAGACTATATTTTACAATTAAAAATGTTATCAAGGGCTTTTCTATAAGGCTTGTTTAGTGTTTTATATTGGTGTTTCTGAGCAATTTTTAAAAGCCCCTTTAAAGCTTTAAAAGAAAAAGCAAAACCAAGAGTATCCCACCCACACGGCAAAGTCTGGCATGCTCCCCATGATGTATTCGATATGCCAAACACAGTAACAAGAAGTCTCACAATGGAGACGTTACTGGGCCCACTTGAGCAAATTGATGAACAATAGGAGAACAGTGCTCAGTGCTTAAAAAAAGCACCTAACAAAATATAATTTTATATCATTAAAATATGAAGACTATTATAATGAAAATAAGCACAGCGGTAGGGTGTTTGCCTTGCACGCAGCCAACATGGCCGACCTGAGTTCGATTCCTCCGCCCCTCTCAGAGAGCCCAGCAAGCTACTGAGAGTATCTCGTCCGCACGGCAGAGCCTGGCAAGCCACCCGTGACGTATTCGATATGCCAGACACAGTAACAACAAAGTCTCCAATGGAGACGTTACTGGGCCTGCTCGAGCAAATTGATGATCAACGGGAGGGCCTTTACCTTTACTTTCATTAGGGCATGAAATTAAGAGCTTAGCATAATATGAGTTATTTTGTAATAGTTTTTTTTGCTTTATTTTGGGGCCACGCCCAGTGGTGCTCAAGACTTGCTCCTGGCTCTGAGCTCAGGTGGCTACATGGGGTAATGGGGATTAATTCCAGGCAGGCCGTGTACAAAGAAAATGCCCTACCTGCTGTATTATCATTCCAGCCCATAGTTTCTTTTATCAAAAGCTTGTAATCATGAAAGATCGTTTTTCAGGGAAACTAGTTCCCATTTCCCAACCATCCACGAGCTGCTATGCTTATCTCAGGGCTAATCTGAGGAATATGCAAAAGGCAAGGCAGGCAGGGGTGAACAGACAGTAGACATCCCTCTGGCAGTGATTCAGATTAGGAGCAAGTGTGCAGGTCTGTGTTTACGGATAAATACTGGTCCAACAAGGCTGTGCAGGCAACCCTAAATGATTATTGAGAAGTATTCCAACTATTTTTGGATATAAATTGTATCTATCAGAAGACACATGCATCTATTAAAAACCTGAGCATTACCCAGCAGTTTCATACACTTTAACCTAAATGTTGGTGAACCAGTTGCCACATGAGTCAGTCACTGGCATCATTAGGACCAAACATGTGGGATCCTGCTCATAGCCTCTGAATTCACAGTTCAGCAGAAAGATTGTCTTGATTGTGCAGCGCTGATGGGATCACCAGACTCAATTTTAAGGGAATTTCTGAATTAACAAGTATTTTTCTTTCTCACTCACCTATCAATAGTAATGAAAATATTTTGTAATGAGAGAGCTGCAAAATCATTAAACCTGAGGAATTGGTGTAGCTTTTGAGGAAAGCAATTATTAAACAATACTTTTAAATTAAAAAAGAATTGATTAGCATCTGCTATTTTGCATATAACATGTCTCAGGTCACATGTATTTATGTATACAGGCCTTGTAAAATATCAAATGTAATCTGGAAAACAGCCTTGGCCTTTCCTTGCCTCCACAAATAGTACCACAGTCATCTTCCCACGTGTTTATTCACTGAGCTTTCTTCATCTGTAGGTTTATAGTAAAGCCATCTGTTGGCCAGATTCTGGAGGAAGCTGAAGCTGAGGTATGACAGTAGAAAACGTAGCACGATTAAACCTTATTCCTTCTTTTTGCATGTACACTTCCTAATATTTCTCATTATTTTCACCATTTAAGGATCCTAACTTCAATTTGCATTTATGTCTATTACATATAGTATCTTTCTATATGTTTATATCTGTACATAAACATACATAAATAAAAATATGTACACATAACATATATGACCTAAGTCTTTTTTTTTAAGAATCCATGCTGCAAAAAAAGAAAGGACTTCTAGGTAAACTAGCTTATGAGATGCTTTATAAATTGCCTTAGTGTATCCATAAAATTTTCTAAGTGAGGAAAAGAGATCTTACCCTTAGTTGCGACTTTTCACCAAATATATAAAGGGCTGCTTGGCGTTTCAAGAGCTGGTTTTGCAGGTAGGTGCTGTTACTAAAGGAGGCTGGATGGTCCTTGCCTGCCAGCCGGGCGCCAACATCAATGAAGGATGTTGGAGAGCTGATCAGGCGGGTGCTAGAGCGCAGGCTTGCCCAGACACCTTCACAAAAGCCAAAATAACTGAGTGAGATATTTTGATGTGGGAACGCCACTGAACAGGAGAAAGGATGCATACTCTGAAGGTACAATTTTAGAGATAACAAGTCAGTTAATCTAATCAATGAATCATATTGGCCATCTGATACAGGATTTCACAATCACACAATCTCAAGGCTTGGGGAAACCTAAGAAATCTACCCAGGTCAATCCCAAATTTGTATTTTTGATGTAAATTTAGTATTTATATGGAAAGACTGAGATCACAAATAGAAAAAGTGCATTGACACTGGAAACTAAAGGGGCAGGAGGCAACAGTGAAGCCTAGGGAGAGGGTGGGGAGACTCAGTTTCTTAAGATTTTATGAAAAGAAGGAACATCCTGCTTTCTTCAGCCAATTCATCAAGAAATCTAGATTAAGGAGTAAACTAGAAATTTACCAAATCTACTAAACCTAAGGCTGTCTTTAGAATATTTGTGTATTATGCCAAAAGGATGTACTTCAAATATTAAGAGTTAGGGTCTTCCCCGCTCCCTGCCCATATACATACACGAAAAACTGATAATAAATTAGTGATGTGTGAATTTCATTCTTAGGAAGCTTTACATATTTACAGTGAGAAGCAGATTATCTTCCAAGGGAAAAAGACCAATTTAGCTGCAAGAAGGATCTCATGTTATAAATTGACCTTATTGTATTAATAAAAAGAGGATTCTGATAAGCAAGTAAGTATGCAAACAAAATCATAAATGTAGTCTCAAATTTGATTAGCCCGTTTGATTTGATTTGAATTGATTTGATCTCAAATTTGATTAGCCTCTATAACAGGTTGCTGTGTTCATCCCAATGATCAGGTCGAAGGACACTGCCAATGCTTCCTTAAAGCGGGGTTTTCTTCTCTAGATATGGAAAGGCTCTTTGAGAAACTTTGGAATTTTCAAAATGTCAAACTGATTCATGATCATGTCACACCTGATCTCTTTCTCTAGGGTCAGGAGATCAGTTCCCAAAAAAAGGTTTTGTGGGTGATACCTTTATAACATGGATAAACCTTTTTGTATAACACATGATTCTTTTCTTAGATAGTATAGTATTACTTTTTTGGTAAATGCTAATACAATGGAAATTCAGAATGTAAATGAGAATAAAATGTATAATTTGACAAACAAATGTGGAAAAAAGTTGCCTGAAACACATATGATGAGGGTTGAAAAGAGTGACACATCAGGACAGATTATACAGTACCTTGTTTATGGGCTCTTTCCTTAGCTGAAGATTTGGGATTTGACTGAGTAAAACATTTATCTCTGTACCCATGCACTGGTAGGTAAGATTAAAGACAGAAGGAGGAATGAAATGCAAATAGCAGCAAACATCAAAGCAAATTGCATTAACAGGTGTACAGGTTATTTAATTTTGTAAAGAAAGTGAACTTAAGGGGAAAATGTAAATATAATAAAAGGAGACTTAATTAAGAAATAAAAAGCTGCACACACAGAAAGATGAGTGCTTGTTAAATGAAATATCAGCCCCTGTTTATAAATAGAATAAGCAAAATGAAATGGACAGCATAGCAGAGGGCCACTAAAAAATTATGCCAAATGGAATAAGCTTTTGAAGATCATTGTTCAAAAAGAAATTTACATAATAAGATCAAGGAATTAGGGGGGGAAACCGGTAGGAATACATTGGCCCTGGTGTTTGAGGAGGCTGATTGATTGGCAAGTGTTACGTGTTGTATAACACGCTGTTCTTTGAAGAAGATCGTCATACCAGGAAACAGTGAAGCTCTAGCAACCATTTGGAATAACTAAAAACATTTTTTTTTTGCAGTAGAGCATTAAGCATTGCCACACTATCTCCCTTTTTTCATTTGGAAATTACATTTATCTTCCATAAATAAATGCACAGCAATGCATAGCAAAAATTCATGATTCTGTGACAATACCCAATGCCACTAAAAATACAGCTTGTGATGACTGAAGTAATGACTTCTCCTGAAATTCCTCCTTGCACCAAAATGGTAGGCAGTACTAGAGATAACATTTTTGTAAATTGAGTAATATTGTTTTATTTCCAATAGAAACAAAGCGCTTTGTGACTATGGCAAATTTTACCTGATTATAACAAAAATGGTGAGCAGTAAGTTACAGTGATAAATTTCCTGGGCAAAGCATTTGGTCAAATTAATTGAGGAAAATGATTCTGTATTCAGGATTAAAATTTAATAGAAATATTAAGTTAAGCATTGCAAAACTGCCTAAAATATGATATAATTTGATAACATTAAAAATCATTAGCAGTGAATTTCATTTAGCCATAGTCGACTGGAAACAGGAAATGAAGGGCTCTGATGGACTCAGGCCAAAGGAAGTCAGAAAGCTAAGGGCTGAAGAGGCACTGGCTGACTGCACAGAGAATGCTACTGCAAAATCAAACAAGGTCCTGGGACCAAGGGCAAAGGCACAAGGCATCCTGTGTGCTGGCTGTTGGTCTCCTTTCTGTCAAGGTTTTCAGCTTATTTATAGGAAATTGGGACACTCAAATGTTTACAGTGATGCTTGAGAGTCCGGTTCCTGCTTCTAAGATACTTTTCTCCAACATATCCCTCTTCCTGGAATGATTTCTCTTATATCTCTATCTGATAAACTTCCTATCCTGTAAGAATCAGTAATAATGTGCGCTCTTCTGAAAAGCGATTAGTGACTGTCCCCAAAGTTATAGAGAGAGCTACTTAAACTCTGATCATATTACACTGTGATTATTACATATATTATTCTACAAGATTAAGCACTCTGAAGGGCAGGAACCTAATCAAATTTATTCTTATATTAATGCTGAGAGCCCGATACCAAAGTACTGAAAACATTTGTTATTTTTCCCCTGAAAGTTAAACCATTGTGAGTAATCTTCCTTCTTTACTATATCTTCAACTCTATTATTTGCCCCAAAAGGACAAAAAGAATGGTACTGAACTGAACTGCACTGTCCTCCCTTTGTTCATCAATTTGCTCGAGCGGGCACCAATAACGTCTCCATTTTGAGACTTGTTGTTACTGTGTTTGGCACATCCAATACGTCACAGGTAGCTTGCTAGGCTTTGCTGTGTGAGCGAAATACTCTTGGTAGCTTGCCAGGCTCTCTGAGGTATTGAATTACAACAAAAAATGAAGCATTCTCCTCAATAGAAGTCCAGTAATGAAAACATGGCAAGCTTTTCTCTCACTGTGACAGAAAATCAGTATTAAGAAAACTGCCTGTACCAAGTTGGGACCAGCAGAGGTCTACGAGATTGGTAAACTATCCGGCAGTCATATTAACTAGCATCTTCACAGTACTTCACTGGTGGTGTCTATTAAGCTTCCTGAATGACTTTTGCTTGCCAAATAACAAGCATGTAACACTGGCTTGGAGTAGTATTTTTCTAAAACATAGGGTTTCCCTTAGGAGCTCGTGAATTCATTTTAGTATGCTTAATCGGTACTGTTAAAAAAAAAAAGGTGAAACGTAAGAACTAAATATACTGTATGTGGAGTAGACAAAAGCAGTTCATGAAACTTGTGTCAGTATCTATACATTTTTACATTGTGACTTATTACTACCTCAATGGTAATATAAAACAAAAATTATATTTTAAAAAATAAAATATATTTCTGTGAGCTATGATGTAAAAAGTTAGGCAGTTACTGAATTAGACCTTGAGCATATGTTTTTACCCTTTCACCTTAGCCCAGTGAAATAAGCCCTACTCATGGTAATTAATTTAATTTTGGGTTTTGGGTCACACCCAGATACACTCAGGGGTTTACTCCTGGCTCTGCACTCAGGAATCAATTGAACCCAGGTACGCTATGTGCAAGGTATGTGTTTTACCACCTGTATTATCTTTCCTGTTCCTAAGATAATTTAGATGTGAATACAGACTTCCCACTTCAAAGTTTTAGGCTAGAATAATGATTATAACTACAACAGTAATAAACTAATATTTAAGGAATGACTATTATTGAGTCAGTTAAATACCTCACATATATTATTTTATTTATTCTTCAAAATGACTAAAGTTAGCTACTAATTATCTCTATTTTAGAAAGGTACATTTTTGCGAGCAATTAAGAGATTTCTTGGGGTTGGAGCAATAATACAGTGGATAGGGCACTGTCTTGCATGTGGTCAATCCAGGTTCGATCCCTAACACCCTGTATGATCCCCTGAACCCACCAGGAGTGTGATTCTTGAGCACAGAGCCAGGAGTAAGCCCTGACCACAGCTGGGTGTGTCCCCCCAAACAACAATGACAAGAAAACTCCAAAGAAATCAGGAGAAATTCATCACACAGTAATTAAGTGATGAAGTTATATTTCAAATTTGAATGTAACAGAACCATACTCTTATTGCTGGTTACCTAAGCAGCCATGTGACTCTGATCAGTTCTGCAGTGAGTGATGCCAGGAACTGCTGCTGGGAAGTAGTTCAGTTCATTCCCGGAGGGGCACACACAGTTTCAGAGCACAACTATTTCCTGGGTGGTTTCACTGGTGTTGTTCCTTCTACTTTGTTCAGACCCAAGGAGGTAGTAATGAAGAGATGGGATGAAGTGCTGAATCTACCCTTGTGGTTTTATGCGCAGCATTGTGCGTGAGATACATTTTCTTTTTCCTTTAAGGAACACACCCAGCGGTGCTCAGGGCTTGCTCCTGGCAGTGTTCAGGGAACCATTTGGAGCTCTGGAGATCTAACTCAGGATAGCCACATGCAAGGCAAGTGTTCGAGCTACTGTACTATCACTGCAGCCCCAGAGATACACATTATATTTGGTGAATGCTGCCCTAATCTGGATCAACTGTTATGCTGCCCTAATCTGTAATCCCTGTTATGCTATTATTTTCTAAGTGTCACTGTTCAAGTTGCTTCACCTCTTAAAGCTTCTTAAAATACTATCTTGGAGGTTATTACAAAGAAAATACATAAGGAGGAACCTAAAGGGCTATGAAAATATAAAGCACAAAATTAATATGTTCCTTATGTGTCTAATATTTATACTTAAGTACATTAGCATACTTAATATTAAATACTTAATATTTCTCAAATATTCCAAGCTACTTTATATTTCTCTTTAGGAGGAAAAATTATAAAATACCAAATTTCTCATAAAATTTTTCTACTCACAATAATTTATCGAAGATATAAGTACAGAAATTTTCCTCATGGACTTAAAAGCTTTTAAAATTTAAAATGAAAAACAATATGCTCTCTTTTAACATCTTAATTTTTTTCAAACTGGTTCTTTCTGAGAAAAGGTTGCTTTTCCTTTCTTAGAAACTCATCAACATATGTGCTCATCCAGACTGAACAAAAGGATGGAGGAGAAGAAGGTGGAGGTTAATCTAAACTCTATCTCATCTGTGTGGAATATATAAGATGGAAACAAGAAAACTAAGATTCAATGACAATTAAAAAATGATAAAACAGTGAAAATATACAGAGGAGACAAAAAAGATTAAGAGAAATATTCAGAGATAAGAGAATCTTTTCACACAGGATAAGTGAGAAAATCCTAGAGAAGTGGTCCCCAGCTCTCTGAAGAAGGAAGAGACTATGGCTTGAACATGGGTACAAAGAAACCAATGATTTTCAATTCATACAAGTATCTACACCTTCTCCTGTCCTGAGCATGTGTCTGTCTGTCTCATTTATATTAAGAGGGTATTTCTCGAAACTTTCTAAACTTGCTTGTCCGAGTTCATTTCTGCTACTCCATGTAAGCATACAAAAGCAGTAGTTCTAGAGGTCATAGAAAAAGTTGAAGTTGCTAGCAAGCATCAACCTCCTAATTTTTCAGTTAATCATGGTGATCTTACAAGGCTTTGGGACTTAAGAAACAGAAATGGAGTGAGAGAAGATTTCCATTTCTTTTTTTTTTTTTTTGGCTTTTTGGGTCACACGTGGTGATGCTCAGAGATCACTCCTGGCTCTGCACTCAGGAATCATTCCAGGTGGTGCTCAGGGGACTATATGGGATGCTGGGAATTGAACCCGGGTCAGCCACGTGCAAGGCAAACGCCCTACCCACTGTGCTTTTGCTCCAGCCCCAGATTTCCATTTCTGAATCTCAGTGTAAGATACCAGAATGAAGGGACTCTGCTCAGGTATAAAGAAATGTCCTAAAGAAGAGAGGTGATGAGAAGAATGAGCTTAGTATTTTAAATTTTAAAATTAGATTTTGAAAACTCAGAGAAAAAAGTTATAGATGACTGCTGTCTGCCTCTAGCTCTTGTCCAGACCAATTCATATGTTGTGCCTCAGAATGCAGCTTCATTTGGAAACTGGATCACTGTTAATGTAATTAATTAAGGTGATGCCATACTGGAGTGGGAGGGCCCCTAATTCAATATGAGCAGTATCTTTATAAAGAGAAAAAGACTGGAGGCATATACATAAGAAAACTATAATATAAAAATTAAGACGGATCTAGGTGCTACTTCTATTAGTTAAGGAATGACTGACAGCAAACTACCAAGAACTAGGGGAGATATATATATATATGTGTGTGTGTGTGTGTGTGTGTATATATATATATATATATATATATATATATGTATGTATGTCTGCCAACAGATTTTCCTTAAGACATCCCAAAGGAACCAACTCTTCAGATATATTGGATTTTTGAGAACTTTGAAACAATAATTGTTTAAGTCACCCAATTTGTGGCAGTTTCTAACAGTAGTTCCTGCTAAGTAACATAATCTTGAAACATTAATTAGTAAAATGACTGAAGAAGGCTGACAGCTCAAAGGAAATGCTGAAACTGCAGAAAGTTCTGGTGAGGTAGGAAAAACCAATATAACTACAAGGGGATGTACATAGTACATACTCATTTCCAAAAAGGAAAAAAGTAAAATTTGTAAAATAGGCCTTTATGTTGATTCTGAGTCAATTATAGAATGTATTATTAATGAATTATTTATATTTTCTTAGGCAAAAACACGGTTTCTTAGTAACAAGACACTAAGAATCATTTAAACAAACCATAAAATCTATTGTGACACAGTTAGTAGCCTGAAATCTAGCAAACAGTGGATTTAATAGATTGGCAGAGAATAAGAAATGTAGGCCAGGTGAGTTTTATTATAATGACTTATCATTTTAGATAACAAGATCAATCTTTTTCTTTAGAAAGGTTTCTACATTATTTTACTTCAGGCCTTATCCTTCTGTCTTGTTTAATACATTTTAAGCAACAAATCTCATGAGAACAGTGATCAAATCTATGAACAGAAGAGGATTGCAAAAAGTTAATAAACTGGTAGACAGGATCCATATGAAAAAAGAAAAATTTTTAGGTATAGTAAATAATGTATTTAGGTCTAAAAATGAACACTCAAGACTACTAGTACTCTTTTGAACAACAACACATGTGAAGTAGACAGAAATTTCAAATAATTTCAATTTCAGTGTATGTCAACTTAGTGATGTAGCTGTGCCTATATCTGTGGTAATCATTGATTGCACAAAATCAGTTCTGTGGAGAGTCTAAAGAATGATAAGGGTGTGAGTGAAAGGACACTCACATGAACAATTCTTAAATCTGAAGGTTTGTCATGTGGGAAATAGGATGTATTTTTAATTTGAGAGTTCAAAATAAGAGCTGATATATAAATATTACACAGCAGTAGATATTTAGATTGACATGGAAAGTATTTTCTGGAAAATGGAACTGCTTACAAATGCAAGGAAAGAAGTGAGTTTCCCATTACTAATGATCAAACCGTACCAAGATGGTGGGAAATGTACAATGGTGGAGGGATGGGTGTTGGAACATTGTATGACTGAAACCCGGGCATGAACAACTTTGTAACTGTGTACCTCAAAGTGACTGGATTAAAAAAAAACAAACAAAATAAACAGTACCAAGAATCACTCACTTGGTATGTTTTCAAGGGGATTCAGGACTACATGGGAGAGAGTGGACGGATTAAGAGTCCATTGTGTAGCAGGACTCTGCAGTCAAGATAAATGGTCTGGAATTTCCTATGGAAACGCAAAGCCTCTCACATAAACTTCCAGAGATCAAAGCAAAGTACCCTTTGAAGCTGAAAGCGCCAATACGATTTCCTCATGCCAGCAACAACTGGCCAGAGGAAAGAAAAGAGTAACTTGAGTATCTTTCTCATTCCCCACACTAGCACTGCAGAGACCAGAAGAAAAATAACAGATATTGGAGTGTATCTCTTTAGTTGGGGGTTGCTTATTAATCCCTTCCTATTAAAGCTTCTGTGATCAGTCTTTCTACTCAGTAAACTTAAAGAATCATGGGTTACTTAAGTAACTTGCAGCCTTCCCAGGGCTCGCTCACCGTTTAGATACTCTCCCTCATGTTCCAGTGGTTCCAAACTCTTATCGATATGTAAGTTTTCAGCAGTGATTGTCCCATGAGTCTACACTCATCTATCACCCTGCTTAAAAGAATTCTTTCATCCATTTAGAAAAGGGTAATTAAGAACAATTTGAAGTATGATCAGTTGATTTGAGAAATCACTATCTAGAAAGAGTTATATCCTTTTAGAGTTGTATCAGTGCTCAGTTATAAAATCAGTCTTACTAACCTCCTCGAGCAAAGCTATTGGATGGGTTTACATCCAAATGTCCTGGCACTACCTGCTTAAGCACAGTGGACATTCTTGAAGTCCTCTTTTCAGTCCCTAAAGTCAGCCAAAAAGAAAAACAAAAATCATGTCGTTTGGGTTAACATTACTCAAATGACAAAAAGTTATCTTCATGTGTAGCATGTCTAATTGCTGCCAAACATTGTACTTTTAGGTACCCAGAGCTTTAATAAAGATAACAAGGCACAGTTACTATTTCCTTGTAGATAGACACATTTGCAAGATTATAGAGAGTTAGGTTTGGCAAGGGCAATCAGAGAATTTAATGATAAATGAAGCAAGGCATGCATGGTGTTACTTTACAACAAAAGCCACTTTCTGCTTATGTTGAGCTAATTCAAATAGCTGATTAAGCCAAGGAGACCAACTTTTCAAGTCACATGCTCCTGTGTCTAACACGTTAGGGTTACCTCTACATGAACCCCTTGGGGTTCCATCACATGATAACTGAAACAGAATATTAGTACAAGTCTTAATGATTTCATCCAAATCTAGTGAAAATAAGCTGTACTGCAAATCATTAAAGGTTGCAGAAATTCTGGGATTTCACATTTACACATGAGTATTTTAATAAATATGAATTTAATAAACAGATGCTCTATAATTCAGCTTTATAATAAAGCATATAAAACAAAATCCAGAAAAAGACCCAAATGACTTAATGTTCCCACCATCTCTCCTAGTACTCCTTTTAAAAGGAAATAATTACATCATTGATTACTATTAATTAAAATTTTACAACGGTGCCCTGATTTCTCAGTAAGATGAGCTAAAGCTATGGACACAGAGGCTAAAATGTAAGGGGTCAAGTTGAATGAACAGTTTAAGTAACTGAAGAGACTAACCCTAGGAATAGATCTGACCTTAGTTGTCAAGAAGAAAAATGTTATCAAATCTTACCTGGAGACAGAGCAAGTGATGGCTTGACAGTGAGGGTGTTATTGCCATTGAGTTTCTGGTGGACAGAAACTGCACTCAGTAAGGCTTGCAAGTACTTTTCTTGTTCTATGCTACTGGAAGATTCTAAAGAGGAGGTAGGAGCTACAAAAAGAAAGCAGTGGATAAAGCTCCCTGTTAATAAAAGAGTCATATACATCAATTCTTCCTATTTATAAATGTCAAGTTACCACATTCAAGCAAAGAAACCAGTTCTCTTTAAAATTCCAGTCTATGGAAAAAGAAACTATGGTTCATATACACAAAAGAATATTACTCGGGGATAAGATAAGGCCATGTACTTTGCTTCTACCTGGATGGATCTTGAGAGGATCATGCTGAGTGAAGTTAGAGGGAGAGCACTCATACAGAATAATCTGTCTCATATGTGGGATATAAAGAAACAGAAGAGTAGAATAACAAATGCCCAAAGAAAAGAAACAAAGATGAGAAGAACTGGTCTTCAGTAGGAAGCATGCTACTTGTGGTGGGGGAGGTGGGGGCAGTGAAGGGAAGGGGCAGGGAAGGCAACACTGAAACAATGGAGTAGGGAGATTCATCTACTAGGAGAAAGAGAGGGGGTGAAAGGTAGTCAAGTGTTGTGCTTGACTCCCTGTTGGCAACAGTACTGTACACCATAGTGTCAAAGTTACAAAAAAAGTGCCTTTTATAGAGGCAGATGGGTGGGTGGGAAGGAAATGGAGCAGGGAGAACTGGTAGAGGGAAGTCAACACTGGTGAAGACACAGGTGCTGAAAAATAGTCCTGGAACCCACTAATGAATAACTTGGTAATTCATGATTACAATACAAAAAAACCCCTCAGTCAATCATGTGGCTAGATGTCTTTTTTTCCCCCCTTCCTTTTTGGGTCATACACAGCAATGCTCAGGGGTCAATTCTGGCTTTGGAATTACTCCTGCCATCGCATGGGCAGGGGGTGGGGTGGAACGATGGGACATATGGGATGCCAGGGTCTGAACCCGAGTCAGCCATGTGCAAGGCACGTACCCTTATCTGCTGCCCCAAATTGTCTTGTACTATTATTTTTACCATACCTACTTTCTAATTGCTCATCATACTCTCAGAAAGAGTTCAGGGGCTGGAATAATAGTACAGTGAGTAGAGCATTTGCCTTGCACATGGCCAACATATGGTTTCAATATATGGCACCCCTATGGTTCTCCAAACCTGCAAGGATTGATCCCTGAGTGCAGAGCCAGGAATGAACCCTGAGCACTGTTGGGTGTGGCCTCAAAAGAAAAAAAAAGAGTCTGGATGTAAAACCACAGGTCTCAACTTCTCATTACCCAAGCATCTCAAAAATGAAGGTTTGTAAAAATCATCTACTTGATGATCTCCCCCAAGTATTCTGATTCTGCTGTTCAAGAGCAGAGCATGAGTGGGTTCCCTTGACATCCAAGAATGGGAAAAGGTGAGAATTTCCCAATATCAGTAGCTTTATTCCAATTCTGCCATACAGGAGACAAAAACTTCAGAAATCAGTAGAAGGACCAGTGCAGGAAGATGGGAGAGAAGACAGGGGCTTTATGTCACTCTGATGCTGCACATGTTGCACGAGCACGTTGGGAAAAAAAATCTATGAGGATTGCATTCATCTGGGGGATATAAAGTAACAAAGTATGAGATTAATACCCAAGAATAGCTGAGATCAGCGCCAGGAGGATTACTCCATAACTTAGAGGCCAGCGGGTATCCTAGAGGAAAGGGCAGTTCAGATAGAGAAGGGAGCACCAAATAAAGGATGTTTGGAGGATCCTCCCAGGAGGGGAGATGCATGTCGAAAGTAGACTATGGACTGAACATGTTTGCCACTCAATGCCTCTTTTGCAGACCACAACACCCAAAAGGAGAGAGAGAACACAGGGGATTGCCCTGCCACAGAGACAGGGGGAATGGGGGTATTGGGGTGGGAGGGATATTATCCATGGTGGTGGAAAATGGGCACTGGTGGAGGGATGGGTATCTGATCATTGTATAATTGAAACCAAAGCACAAAAAATTGCAAATCTACAACTGTAAAAAAAAATAAAATAAAATAAAGGGAAAAAAAAAGTTGGGCTACTCAAGAACAGATGACTGGTTAAAGAAACTTTGGTATATCTACACAATGGAGTACTATGTAGCTCTTAGAAAAGATGAAGTCATGAAATTTACATACAAGTGGTACAATATGGAAAGTATCATGCTAAGCGAAATGAGTCAGAAAGAGAGGGATAGACATAGAAAGATTGCATTCATCTGGGGGATATAAAGTAACAAAGTATGAGATTAATACCCAAGAATAGCTGAGATCAGCACCAGGAGGATTACTCCATAACTTAGAGGCCAGCCAGGTATCCTAGAGGAAAGGGCAGTTCAGATAGAGAAGGGAGCACCAAATAAAGGATGTTTGGAGGATCCCCCCAGGAGGGGAGATGCATGTCGAAAGTAGACTATGGACTGAACATGTTTGCCACTCAATGCCTCTTTTGCAGACCACAACACCCAAAAGGAGAGAGAGAACACAGGGGATTGCCCTGCCACAGAGACAGGGGGGATGGGGGGATGGGGGTGGGAGGGATATTATCCATGGTGGTGGAAAATGGGCACTGGTGGAGGGATGGGTATCTGATCATTGTATAATTGAAACCAAAGCACAAAAAATTGTAAATCTACAACTTTAAAAAAAATAAAATAAAATAAAGGGGAAAAAAAAAAAGTTGGGCTACTAATAAAAAAAAAATCTATGAGGGAGAAAAGGGCACAATGGAAAAGCCTCAATATTTCCCTCCCTCCCTCCCTCCCTTCCTCCCTCCCTCCCTCCCTCCCTCCCTCCCTCCCTCCCTCCCTTTTTCTTTCTTTCTTTCTTTTTTAAATATCCTGGAGTGAAAGTATTAGAATCATGCTGTAGAGAACTTACCTGACTGAGGGGAGTTCTGAGATTTGAAAAGACCAACAACTCCCTTTCCATGAAATCCTCCGGATCGGAGAAGAAGGGTACTACTTCTTGAGTTCTTCCAACATACAACAGGAAGGCGATTCTGTCGATAGCAGCGGGCTACTCTTGGTAAACTACTGTCCTGTACAGCTTGAGGTACAACTAAAAGGCCAGGATAGCTTAAGTGACATGGGAGGAGAAAAAGAATGATTTTTCAGGATTGGGGTGGAAGGTGGGGATACAAGAGAAGGGAAAATAAATTGGAGAGAAAACATAAGAATATAAATATAGTACAGCTATTTTCTAAGACTCATATATAAGTACAAGGGTAACCAACATTCCAAAAATGGAACTTAGTTTCAATTCAATTCTTTAGGAGTTGAGAAGCAAAGGCTAGATGGTGAAAATAGTGGTGAAGAGAGATCGGAAAATTTGGTAGTACCCATAGTGCGGTAGCAATGTACCTGAAAACATATCAATATTTACATTCTTATTTATTTTTAGAATACATTTAAAAATAGGCAATACTGCAGACTTACATTACTCCTCTCCCTGGGTGGGCTCAAGGGTCCCTATACATTGCCTGGGGATTGGCTATGTGCAAGGCAAGTGTCTTATCCCTGTACTATCTATATCACTGGCCCCCAACTTATATTAAGTTTTACATTAGTATTTGTCAAATTAAACATATTTTAAAATGAAGGATTACAGTTAGTATAAGGTTTATATAAAAATGACAATTATGTTGAAAGTAAAATATGTTATTCAATTTAATCTAAATAGAAAATTATAAATGCAAAGACCTTTCCTGTTAATAAAAATCATTAAATTGTGAACTGTGAAAATACACTTAAAAAAATACATGGGCTTGGTGTTTGCCTTGCATGTGGCCAACCCGGCCAACCCGGGTTCGATTCTTCTGCCCCTCTCAGAGAGCTAGCCAAGCTTCCTAGAGTATCTCGCCCGCATGGCAAAGACTGGCAAGCTACCTGTGACGTATTCAATATGCCAAACACAGTAACAAGTGTCACAATGGAGACGTTACTGGGCCCACTTGAGCAAATCGATGAACAGGAGGACAGTGACAGTGGGCTTACATATATGAAAAACAGCAAGAGATGGTACGAATAAAAAAGAAAATGTGTTAATATTATAGTCTTTTAGTAGCATCCCTTATAAAAATCCTTAGACAGACAGCATAACAAAACCTAGGCTAGAACACAAAATCTACAACCAGGTCAGCAAATTATACCCTGTGGATGCAAAGGGACCCTGCCTATTCATTTACTTACTGTCTATGACTGAGTTTATAGCAGAGTTTAAGAGTTGTAAAAGGAGATCATAGGTTCTGAAAAACTGTAAGTATGTACCAACTGGCCCTTTAAAGAAAAAAGTCAGGCCTTTCTGGCACTTTGTGGTCCTCGAGTTGAGTGTAGTCCCTGAGCACCACCAATGCCCTTGTTTTTCATTTCCCCTGTCTTCCTTAGCAACTCTTACTCTCCAAGTTATTTTGGGGCATGCTGGAAAAATAAAAAATGGGTGAGAAATAAGAAAACAAGGGAACTTTAGAAAGGGAAGACAAAATATCTATCATATTCTCATCTCACATATAAACTGGTCAGTGATTTAAATATACCAGAGAATGCCAATGATGTGCTTGCTCATTCTGCATAAAAAGTACTTCTTAAACACACAGAGTCTCGCTCTTATTTGGGGGCACCTCTTTTGTCTCTCTGGGACATGGTAACAGCCTATTCAAGACTCAAGTAAAAGAAAGTCTCTTTTTGGAGCTCACTTGTAGACTTACCTCCGGCAAAGTGAATACATCCTGTTGGAGGCAGTGATTCGAAAATACTCTGGTTTTGAGCGAGAAGAGCTGCCACTTATGGTTCCCAAACCTAAACGTTGATAGTCTCTGAAACAAGCTTTTTCCACTAACTGCTCCATTGTAGACTTCTCAGAGGCCTTCAGTGTGGTGCTTGTGGGGAGTTCACTATCATCTGAAACTGTAGCGGGAGAAACAGATTTTAAGAAGCCATCAGATCAAAATAGAACACTAAAAATTCCTTCTGAAGAGTATTCTTAAGTCAAGAGAGGTTTATACTAGTGCTAACGGAACTATGTAGAGCACAGTTAAATCATGTAACTTCAATGGGAATTATACTAAAAAACATTAAAACAGTAAAGGACAGTCAGGAAATAAAATACTGGAATTTAATTAACTATTTTTGGGGACTCAGTCTGTAAGTAATATCTCAAAACAATAAGACTTTGATTTCATTACCCATATTCTTCTGCTTCAATCAGACTTACTTATTATATAGTAATTTCTCTTTAGGATTCTATTAAACAAACACTAAAATTTTCTTAAAGAGTAACCTGTTAGTAAAACTTTAATATGATCACTAGAAATTCATCATCTAGTTTCAGTTCATATTATAGAACATATATTTTTTTTGAGGGGGTGTCACACTTGGCAATGCTGAGAGAACCATGTGGTACAAGGGACTAAACTGGGGACTCCCCCATGTGAAACTCTCATTCTAGTCCCTTGAGCAATCTCACTGGCTCTGGAGCATATGGAATTTTAGATTAACTACAAGCTCAGTAGTGGGAAAAGTTATTTCTTTTCTCAGACATTAAATGATTTTTTGGGGTATAAATATTTTTGTCACAGGATGTGGTGCACATGGGAAACCCCCTATTTGTTTTGCAATCACAGGTTACAGAATACTTTGAGATTTTATTTATTTTTTGGTTTTGGACTTTGGGCCATGCCCAGGGCTTATTCTTGGCTCTGGGCTCGGGCATGACTCCTGTGGGGATTAGGGATCGTATGTGGAACTGGGGATTGAACCCGGGCAGACTGTATAAGAGGCAAGTTTCCTGCTTCCTATACTATCGCTCAGGCTTCTCCTTTGAGATTTTAATATCGAAGAATTTCCCCCAAAATCAAGTATTTTCTGGAGGACTAAAGAAAAAAAATCAATATTTCTAATTGGCACTGCATGTTCTTACTTGAAAACATTTCATTTAAAAAGTGTTCTAAATAGCAATTTATTTTCCTATTTATTTCTAAAGTGTGAGAAGTTAAACTAAGCTCTTAAAAATTTTAGGACTGTTCTAATGTCAAGGGAACTATATGGCTCTCTTCCATTCAAAGAAGTAACAGCTACCTACCAGCTTATCCCTGAAAATGACTTTGTATTTTAGTTCATGAACTTCACAACGTAAATATTATTACCAGGTTTTGTGTTGATTTCAATACAATTTTTTCCCAGGTGAGCAAAGATCAGTGTGTGTGTGTGTGTGTGTGTGTGTGTGTGTGTGTGTGTATATATATATATATAAAATGATGACCATAGAATAATTCTTTGTTCCATGAAATCATAAAAGTGTCAAGTTAGAAGTCAATACCATGGATAGTGGCTTTTTAAAAAAAATGACTTCAAATATCTGACTGAGGAGGCCAAGTCTTCAACAAAGGGTCATTTCAGTAATGTGATGATAGGTATTTTCATTGACCCCAAAGGCATGCTTGTATACCTATTGCAATGAATACATTTAAACCAGTCATTTCTCTAAGGAAGAATGAGACTTTTTCTTTAAAATGTTATTAGCAGTAGTGGTAGAAGTAGTAACTGTAATTGTCACTGGTGGTTGATTCTAAAATCCTGAAAAAGAAAAAAAGGATGCAATGGCATCCCGTCTTTCATTTAGATCAGATTTTCATGTTAATTTTGTAAGCACTTGATACTGGGTTAAATCTAGGAAACACTGCTGGAGCACAGGAGTTAATGTGCTAACCCTCCATGTGATCAAGCCTGGTTCAATCCCCAGCATTGCTGGGAATAGGAAAGTAATCCTGATCACCTCAAGGTGTGATGCAGACACTCCCATGCACTCTTCACCACCAACCCCTCCCAACCCCCCCAAAAAAAAGAATAGGAAAGTCAGTAAGATATTTTGTTACTAGCTTTTTTACTGACAGGTATTTTGCTTGCCCCAATACACTGTCAAATATCCAACATGCATTGTTTTCTTCTGAGAATCCCTTTGTATTATTATTATTTTTTTAGTTTCTTAATCTTTATTTTTAAGTTTTTTTAAAAAAATCATTGAATCACGAAATAGATCATTATAAGGCTATTCACAATTAGGTTTCAGTCATTAAGCGTTCCATCGGCCATGCCTCCACCAGTTTAACCAGTTTCCCTTCCATCACCCCCCAATCTCACCTGCCAGCCTGTCTCTATGGCAGGCATCTTTCCTCTTCTCTTCTTTCTTTTTCCCTTCCTCCCCCTCCCCTCCATCCTCTTCTCTTCTCCTTCCTCCCTCACACCTACCTTATGCGCATTGTGGTTTGCAATAAATCCAAATACTGAAAGGTTGTGTATATCCCTTTACTTACTTTTAACACTCAATTCTTGTCCAGCTTGATCATTTACAACTATTATTGTCCTATTATTGTCATACTGGTCCCTTCTGTCTTACCTACTCTCTGCCTGACACACACTTGTGGTAGACTGCAACCACTGACCAGTCCTCCTAGTACCTGTTTTCTCTGGTCTTGGATAATAGTTTTCTGCTATATATATCTCACAAATGAATGCAGTCATTCAATATCTGTCCCTCTCCTTCTGACTCAATTCACTCAGCATGATATTCTCCATCCATCCTCCATCCATTTATAGGCAAATTTCATGACTTCATTTTATTCTAACAGTTGTACAGTATTCCACTGTGCAGATGTGCCATATTTTCTTTATCCATTCATCTGTTCTTAGGCACTCAGGTTGTTTTCAGATTCTGGCTATTGTGAGAATTCCTTTATCTTAGGTCCTCCATTTTTGATTAAGAGCTCTTGCAATGTTCTTAGTCAAACCCGAGTTTTTAACTTTGAATACTTAAAATCCTTATTTCCTTATTGTTACTCTACAATAAGGTGCACAGGGATTGTTTTGTAACTACATTTTTAATGCAGAGGAGACCTACTTTCTCCCTTTAATGAGATCCACATTAAATTGGCCAATCAGCTCTAGAGATTAAGAAGTATAATTTAACAAAATAATATACAAACAACAGAATATTGGATAAAGGATTTTTCCTCATAGTTCTGAGAAGCTGGAAAGTTTCTCTAAGCTTATGGGCTATACCTAGTGGTACCTAGGAGTGACTCCTGGCTCTGTGCTTGGGTGGTGGTTGGAGTACCAACTGGGCCAGGGCTAGAACTAGGATTACCTGCATGCAAGGGCAGGAGCCTTAATCTCTCTACTAGCTCTCTAGTCATTGCAAGTCAACTTTAAATGCACTTACATATTAAATGAATAAAACATTAAGCCTTAATGTTTTATTCATATAAGAATAAAATTAATTTGTGAGAGAAAAATAATTCTCACATACCAGATATGTCATCTTCTTCATTCCATCCAGGGCGATTCACTCTCTCTTCTACAATTGTCCCAGTTCTCCTCTTCAATAAATACTGACGGCCAATTGTCATTTTCCCTGCCCTTTTGGCACCTTTCACAATTGTTTTTGAGAAGGTGCTACAAAACCGAAAAGTATGCAAATTTAATATACAGACATCACTTAGACTTTATTCTTGCAGCTGTAAAATTATTCTAATATCAAAATTAAGAATTTTTCAGACTGACAGCTACAATTTTGTGTTTCTTTTTCATTCTCACATCAAGACCATCATTAAACCTCTCATTCTTTTCAGTGGGACTCTCATTACCCACCAAAAACTTTTTCATCTGGCTTTTTTTGTCAAGCATGTCTCTAACCTAATTGGTTATTTGTGTCACTGCCCTACTACAATTTCCACACATGATGCTTGCAGAAGTTCTGTACAAAGAACCAGGAGACCACGTCTCCACTGATTCAAACACTTTTTCTACTAACAGATAGGCCTTTCTTTGATAACATGTGACAATTATAGTTGGTAGCACATTTATTTATTTGTTAAATGTTTTAAGTGCATATGTGTGATATCATGGCTTTAAGTAGTATAAGACTTTTAAGATGTGGAAAAACTAATTCCATTCTATTTTTCAAGAGGAGAAAAATATAAAATCAGATAGTTTAGTATCCCTTGAGACTGTGCTTTACTTAAAGGGAAAACAGCATGTATACAACTTGAGCTGTATTTTGTTTACTTAAATAGTTTATCTTTTCTTGCTAATAGAAGATCTGAATACAAAGTATTTACAAAACATAGGAGAAGAACCTATTTCTTGAATAATTATATAAATATTAAGGTTTCCAGTAAGATTGTTTTGATTATGTTATCTACTGCAAAGAATACAACCCTGTGTTTTCTTGACTGCTGGTGAAAAGTAATAAAGATAATTTGTTGTTAGTTTTACCAGGTCCTATCTTTAGGGACAGGTAAAATGTAAATCTGAGGTCTATGAAATATGTCTTAGAAAACTGTCAGAGACCATAAAATACTGGTATTTCCTAAATTAAACCTATTTTAAATCACTTCAGGTATAACTCAAACTGTGGGTTTTTGAACTTGTTCTCCATCCAGAGCTACCTTTTGTTCTATATGATCAAAGTTACTAGGACATTTTAGATTTTAAATCTGCTGGCTAGTTTGAATATAATAGGTTTGATACATACATATATATGTCAATTATAGAAATTATAAAATGATATAAAAACTATTGCAGTGCTAACATATATAATTTTAGAACATATAATTATCACTGTCCTCCCGTTGTTCATCGATTTGTTTGAGCAGGCCCAGTAACATCTCCATCATGAGACTTGTTACAGTGTTTGGTATATCGAATACATCACGGGTAGCTTGCCAGGCTTTGCCATGTGGGCGAGATACTCTCAGTAGCTTGCCGGGCTCTCCAACAGGAGTGGAGGAATCAAACTCCAGTCAGCCGCATGGGCCACATGCAAAGCAAATGCCCCACCCGCTGGGCTATCGCTCCAGCCCCATTTAGAACATGTATACCAAATATATTTCTTTTCCACTCTGAGAGTTTCTAAACATAAAGCACTGTACAAAGCTTTATTTCTTCTATAAAAATTCTGGATTAATAAATACCACAGGCTCCTCCATGGTCCTGCAGTGCTAAGACAAGATGCTTGTCTCACTGGTGTAAGTAGCTAGGGTCAGCATATCATTCCTGGATATGCATTTTTTATTTAGAGATAGCCAGCTATGTAACTGAGAAATGACCCACTGACTGCAGTCTCAAATCTGCAACTGCCAGCTTACCACACTTACAGGCAAAGGAAAGGACTTCTTCTTTAAAGTCTGCAAAATACTCCCTAATATGTAACAAGTATTTACAGATTGTAATTTTTAAAAGGTAACTAAAGATGCATGAACTAAATGTTAGTACTTATGCAACACCCTATACTACACTGGATCTTGTACCAGAATTTAAAAAAAATAGCCATAAAGGATCAATATCTAAATATATACACTTGGTTAGAGAAAACTTTGATAATTATCAATTAAGTTTCCTGGTTTTGATTATTGTACCGTGGTTAAATGTCTTTTTTCTTAAGTAATATATATTGATGTATTTAAGAATAAAGAGATATTAAGTGGCTATCTTGTATCTTAAGTGGTTCAGAAAATATCTGAGAAAGAATAAAGAAAACGGAGCAAAGCGTATATAACTATAATGAGTATGTAAAGGAAATAAAAGGGTTATTAACTTTTCTGTAAGTTTGAAATTATGGAAAAATAAAAAGTTGCCCACCCCCCGAAACACATATATACACACAAAAGCTTATGATTAGCTTCTAGATTAAGCAAATCACCTTAAATTACTGAAATCACCTGGAAATTACTGAAAGCCAAAGGAACTAAAGAAGTTAGACAAGATCAATAAGGGAAAAAGGGTAAAAGGGATAAGGGAATAGAATTCTAGAATTCTGAAAACGCGTGATGAGCAGTGGGTATAATATTCAAAATCTCTTGGGGCTTTTCATTTGGGAAATTAGTTACAAATGTTAATGCTGTTTTTTTCATAGCTTTCTGAACTTTGTTCAACAGGCTAAGAGAACAGCAAACAAAAAGAGCAAACACATTGATTCTAAGTATAGGTGGCTTCCATAAGAATCAGCTATGGCAGGTCTTCATTCTTACCGAAAGGAAGTATTCTTTTCCTTCTGTTTGGGTAAAATTATTTGTGGGGTAGTCTGCCCAGCAGCAAAAGCAAAGGTGGTAAAAATGGACTGAGGATAACGGAACTTCATCAGCTGCTTCTTAAAAATTTCCACTACTTCTGGACCCACTTCTTCATCAAATGCTACTTTAATCAACTAGAAATGAAAAAAAAAATTAAAGGTATCAGAAGAATTAGAGATTTCTGGATAACCTACCCCTCAATTAATGAAGCAACAGAAAATAACAATTTTAAATGGAACGAGTTTGGAGGTTAAAGGGACTTTGGATATCAAGAAATAAAGTTTTTTCGGGGCCATACATGACGATGCTCAGGGGTTACTCCTGGCTCTGCAAGCAGGAATTACTCCTCCTCAAAAGACCATATGGGATGCTGGGGATTGAACCCGGTTTGGCCGTAAACAAGGAAAGTGTCTTACGTTCTGTATAATCCCTACAGCCCCAAGAAATAGAGTATTTCTATTAAAAAAACAAAAAAAATTGAGATTAAGAAAGGTTGACTTACCAGATAATTAGCCAGGAAGGAAAATCTTTTTTTTTTTAAATTTTTATTAGTGAAACACCATGAGGTACATTTGTAGACTTACAAATTTTTGTGCTTGGGTTTCAGTTATACAATGATCCAATACCCATCCCTCCAACAGTGCCCATTCTCCACCACCACTGATCCCAGTATCCCTCCCACCCCCGCTTCCCCCCACATCCAAAAGACCAAAAGCAACCGGTGTTGGCGTGGATGTGGCGAGAAAGGGACTCGCCTTCACTGCTGGTGGGAATCCCAACTGGTTCAGTCCTTTTGAAAAACAGTATGGATGATTCTCAAAAAATTATAATTTGAGCTCCCATTTGACCCAGCAATACCATTCCTGAGAATATATCCCAGAGAGTCAAAAAAGTATAGTTGAAGTGACTTCTGCACTTGTTTGTTTATTGCAGCACTCTTTACAATAGCTAGAATCTGGAAAAAACCTGAGTGCCCTACAACAGATGACTGGTTAAAGAAACTTTGGTACATCTACACAATGGAGTACTATGCAGCTGTTAGAAAAGATGAAGTCATGAAATTTATATACAAGTGGTACTACATGGAAAGTATAACGCTAAGCGAAATGAGTCAGAAGGGACAGACATAGAAAGATGCATTCATCTGGGGAAAATCTTATCTTTTTTGAGAACCTTCTGGTGACCACTAAGTCTACACCCAGTAGCTTAGGAGGCCATGTGGTGCCAGAAATCAAAGCTGGGACCCTGTGCATCCCTAAGCTTGTGCTCTAGTCCTCTGAGGAAAACCTGATGCAGGAAAACCTGATGCAGGAAAACCTGATCTTTTTTTTTCCTTCTTAAATTTTTATTAGTGAAACACCATGAGGTACAGTTGTAGACTTACAAATTTTTGTGCTTGGGTTTCAGTTATACAATGATTGAATACCCATCCCTCCACCAGTGCCCATTCTCCACCACCACCAGTCCCAGTATCCCTCCCTCCCACCATTCCCTCATCCCACCCTACCTCTGTGGCAGGGCATTCCCTTTTGTTATCTTTCTCACTTTGAGTGCTGTGGTTTGTGAAAGAGACACTGAGTGGCAATCTTGTTCGGTCTATAGTCTACTCTCATCACACATTTCCCATCCTGAGAGGAACTTCCCAACACCCTTTATTTGGTGCTCCCTTCTCTATCTGAGCTGCCTTTTCCCCTAGAGTGTGCGGCTGTCCTCAAAGCCATGGAGTAATCCTCCTGGTACTTATCTCGGCTATTCTAGGGTGTTAGTCTCCTATTTTGTTACTTTATGTTCCCCAGATGAATGCAATCTTTCTATGTCTGTCCCTTTCTTTCTGACTCATTTCGCTTAGCATGATACTTTCCATGTAGTACCACTTGTATATGAATTTCATGACTTCATCTTTTCTAACAGCTGCATAGTACTCCATTGTGTAGATGTACCAAAGTTTCTTTAACCAGTCATCTGTTCTCGGGCATTCAGGAAAAACCTTATCTTGAAGCTGGATTTATTTAAGATGATCTTTTCTATGATGGAATATGGAAATTAACCTATAAAGCTGAAGTAGGGGAGATATCCCTTTTCATTTTTCAGCTGTCCCTAATAAGGAACAGCTGAAAAGGAACTAAAGCTTACAGTTCCCCTAATAAGGTATCTTCTGGCACAGGGATACTATAAAGCTAAGAAGAAAAAATTCAGTTTCACTAGGATATAACCAGCTTGATCAACTAATATTTTAATTTGGAGTTTTCTGAGAGTTGAAACAATGGAGGAATCCCTGGGAGAAGTAACTGTTTCCTTGTGATGCAAGAAGGTCTGGAGCCTGGAGATTAGCAGCCTCATATTTTAAACAATTACCATATGAGATTCTTAGGAAGGGTTTCTTGACCGATATAAACAGGCCAAGAATTGAACCCCTTATAAATCTGAGAGCTCAAAGACAAAGCATAAAGAATAGGAAGAGCAAAACATCACAGAGAGTTTTGTAAATACTGGACAGACTAAGAAAAAAAATCACTCATCCAGTGTCTGGCTTGCATTAACAGTTCTACAATTTCTAATTATATTCAGAGTTCTTTGGAAAACCCTTGGCTACATCAGGGGCAATCTAGTTAGCAACATTAGCACTGAGCTATAATTTAAATTTTACTTCTTTTGAAGTGTTATAGAACATTTCTTTCTGAAATGGAAACCATGCGTTTGGCTTCCTATAAAAAAAAAGGCGTTATAAAACACAAATTGAGGTATGATTCGGCAGAGAGCAAAATTTAGTTGTATATCAATATTTTTAGGTCACAAAACATTGATAGATAATATGCTGGTACTCTGAGTTGGGCAAGGGACTCAGGACGTGAGGGATTAAATCCAAAACTACCAAGACTATTCAGGAGTTCACTTAATTGATGATCACTCTCCCAGACTCTCAGATTATTAAATTCTTCTCATCTTAAACCTATAGTCACAAGACCACAGAATCATCTGTAGAAAAATTTTAAGTGGTAGAAGAATGGCTTCTTTATGCAATACCTGAAAAGATGCTGATGTGATCTGCAGTCCTTCTTGCATGTTCTGCTGCAGTTGATTCTGTATTGAGATCTTCTTTTCCTTGGTGATGGAGGCAATGGGAAAACTCCGCACAACTGTCTGCTCACCGACTATAGGAAGACAGGACACAAACTCAACAACAGCACTTTATAACTCATTTCTAGAGTCTCTGCTGCTCATTTCAAATAGTCTCTACTGAAGAAATATATCTGGAGAAGACAATGTTCAGGAAGAGAAAATGCCATGACTCTAGACTTGTATTTATTAATTTGATTTCAATTCTGAAACTCCATCCTCACTCATAGCAAAGAAACTCTCGCAGTCTGCCTTTATTCTATTGCCCCAATTTGCTGTTGTGCTCAACAAGATCAGCAGGTGTAAGACAACCTTTTCAGGAAAGGTAGGTTTTATTCAGAAAAAAAAGGGTGGTGGTGGGGGGAAATCTTCAACTGTTGAAGAGATATTTGTAATATTTAATGTAAGAATAAAGCAGGGGAAAGGGTTTTTTCAGAACCTTCCCAGTGGTTCTCCAGAGATCACCATCAGGGTTGCTGGGGTGTGGGGGTGGGGACATGTAGTACCAGGGACAAAACTCTGGGCCTCAAGCATGCCAGACATATACTCTTTAACTTGACCTCTTTTCTCAGTCCTCAGAAAAAGGTTTTTAAAGCTTGTGTCTATGTGTGGTGAAAGATTCAGTATTATGTTCATGTGCCTTCAGTAGATATGGAAATGAACTCATGCCCATGATTTTTTAGGAACTTAAATATTAAATAAAATAAAAATATAACTAATTATATATAGATTAATTACCAGAGGTCATGAAGACGTAGAAAAGAAGAATACATAAAGTCTCCCCTGGAAAGCTTACATTCCCCTGGGAAAGTCATCCACGGAATATAACAGTGTATAATTAGATCATAGGCTTGTGGGAATGAGGTTTTAAATATCTCAGAAACAGAGAAGATTTCTACATCTAGATGACTAGAGTATGATCCTGGAAGTACTGAGAAGGAAGGTGAATTCTGAAAAGTGTAGGATTTGAATTTGAAGTAGGGAAAGTCTGGTATAAGGAACAGAAAAAATTGTATCCATGGATATGTTTCCTCAACCAGTAAACCAGAGACGTAAGATGTAGACTAGAATCATCTGATTTAAAATAATATAAATTCAGATTTGTTGAGTAGCCTTTCATATTCCTTATACCCTGGATCTCTTAACTAGAAAAATCTTCTGATTATATTCTTATCATACTCAAAGGCTAAACAAAATCAGGATGTATATAAAATTTACATTTTAGGATGTTTTAAATTTAAGATTACAATTTAAGATTGTGTGGCCGCCCACCTACGAGATGGTCACACTTCTTTGTCAAGACCCTGAATGATCGGTTTGAGGCTCCTGGTGTTCCTAGAACGAGCAGATGCATTGGGCTACACTAGCATGCAACAGGGATGAATGGAGACGTTACTGGCGCCTGCTCGAGCAAATAGATGAGTAACGGCATATCAAGTGACCAAGTGAAGGATGTTTTAATACAGGCTATGACAATATAACACATGTACAATGATCAAACTTCTAAGTGCTATTAAAGGAGAAACTGTAAATGAGAAATCTAAAGATAACTAAAAAGCAGATAAAAAGATTTTTTTGATTAAAATAATATACCAAAAATGTGGAATTATCTCAACAACTGACAGGAAAAAGAAAACACTGTGAGAATTCATAAGATCTTGGTGATTATATTATTAATACTATGCTTGGTTTGATGAGCTGCATACTAAGAAGGAAACAAGGACTAGTTAAGATGAGAGAAGAGGCGGAGAGATAGTAGTGGGTAGGGCATTTGCCCTGCAGGCAGCGCATCCAGGCTGGATCCTTGGGAACCCCAGTGATCCCTGTGCTCAGAAGTAAGCTCAGAGCACGGCAGGGCATGGCACCCAGACCAAAAATAAAATAAAATAAGAGGAAAGTAGGATTAGTTAGTGCTTATAATTTTTGACTCTTATCCCAGCCTTCCACAAAAGTAACCATGGGCCTGGAACTCCTTAACCTGACTTAGTCCTTAATCGCAGGATTCAGAAAGGTGGATGAAATCAATAGGGGATTCTACTAGCAGCTAGATACTGTGAATATCTCTATAGGTCACGGTAGCTGCCTCTAAGATTCTGATCATCTCAGTGTGTTCATTGAATGGTAAACCTTTGCTTTATCAGTTAGAGGATATCCCCTAGTTCCCAGTGATGCTGGGGGCTACTAGGGCTAGACCAGGAGGTTCTCAGGAGGCTGTGTAGTGTCAGAGCTCAAAAGGGTCCCACATGTGGCAAAAATGTACATTGGCCTCTTAAGTCATCGCCCAGGTTCATTGCTCCCTCTTTTGTTGTTGTTGTTTTTTGTACTCATGGTTCTTTAAGAATCTATAATACAAATTATCATTAGTTTTGACAGGTATTCTAAAATATCTGTGTGGTAAAAGGCTGAATTTGAAAAGATGATGAACTGATTGCACACAAGGGATAGAAAACCTTACGTGACATACATGAGGCTTATTCATGTTGTGATAGCACACAATAAACCATACCTAGCTGATCATGGGGAGCCCCTCTGAACAGGATTCTATATGTAGTGAGGAACAAGGCCCCTTCTGCGGGTAAGAGCTGAGGTCCTCCAAGAAGGCCTCCAGTGGCTTCTTCTCGGCCATCAGGATCCAGAAGGACTCGAAGACCTTCACAAATGATTTCTTCTCCTGGTAGCAGAGCTGGTCTAAGAATCTTGGGCTAACCAGAGAAGGAGTATATTAAACACAACTCTTGCAGGGTCTCTTAACATTTATCAAGGTTATTTCAGCTATACGATGAAAAACACTGTAACTACAATGAGCATTCAAATTTGGGAAGAGACAAAATTGGAGTTCTTGGGTACAAATGTGAAAAGATTCCTGGTCAACGGTGAAATTCTTGAAAATTACTTAACCATTTTAAGTATCTACTCAATGGATAATTTTGCAACTAGTAAAGACAGTGACATGAATATATATATATATATCAACAAGAAAGATATTCAAAATGTATTGTTATGGGAAAAAGCAAAATCATAAACTAGTATACTATGATTTCCTTTTTTGGGAAAAAGTAAAATTGTATGAATATGAGCTAAGTCACTAAATGTGGTTGGGGCGGAGTTAAGAGTGGGGGGTATGAAAGACCATGGGTGTTTTTCATGTTGTAAAACATGTATTTCTTACATGCTTCAGTTTTATACAAACACTACTTTTGTCACTATCACTGGTCCTCCCATTGTTCATCAATTTGCTCGAGCGGGCCCAGTAACATTGTGAGACTTGTTGTTACTGTGTTTGGCATATCTAATATGGCACGGTTAGCTTACCAGGCTTTGCCGTGCGGGCGAGATACTCTCGGTAGCTTGCTGGGCTTTTGTAAGTTAAGAAAATAAGTATCTTATTTTTTTAAGTAAACTTCATAATTATTTAGAACTCCGTAAGATTCATCACTGAAATTTTTTTCTGTACCATGAAATGATACTGGATATACTGTACTTATTATTATTTTTAAAAAAATTTCCAGGATTTTTTATTTTTTGGTTTTAATCGAACCATCATAAATTACAGTTACAAAGCTAGTCTTTATTAATTTCCAGGCATATAATGTTCCAATATCAATTTCTTCAACAGTGTCTACTTCACTTCACCAATATCCCTAGTTTCCCTCCAGCCCCCCAGCCTGCCTCTATGGCAGCCTTTCCCCTCCCCTCTAACATTGTATTAATCTTCTCTTCCTTAACTTATCCCTCTAACCTTCACCCCAGTGGAAAACCTCCTACTGAGGACCAGTACTTCTGCGTTTTGTTTCTATTGCCTTTGGCAAGTACTTTACAATTAGAGACATGTGTCTTTAAAAAGACCTGCCTTTCTTAGCTTTTACTGAAGATTAATATAATGGCCAAGTAGCGAACATTTACATATCTTGAAAAATAAGGAACTACATGATACATTGCATTGTACAGTTTAGCAGCAGGAACAAAATCCATCCCAATTGATGACTGGGTATGCGTATTTTCTACTAAACCACATATACTGGCACTATTCTTTTTTTTCTGGCTCTAGAAATCTCAGAGATCAACAGAAAGCTAAAAATATAAAGACAAAAGTGTCTCAGATATATGATAGAACTATATTTCTTATTGATGTGGCTCTGAATTAAAGAATTTTTTCCCGTTGTTGTGGAGGCCATGGAGTAGTGCTCAAGGTCTACCAGAACCATACCTAGCAGCCCTCATATGGCCATGCAGTGCCAGAAATGGGATCCAGAATGTTGCAGATGCAAGGTATGTGTCTACTATTTAAGAAACATCCCCAGTTCTCTTTGAATTTATTTTCAGGAGTACATTAGAAAGTTAAGAGAATATTGAACCACAGATCACAGACTGGTGCCAGACTGGCTTCAAAAAAAATCATCTGGAGGGGCTGGAGCGACAGCACAGCGGGTAGGGCGTTTGCCTTGCACACGGCTGAACTGGGTTCGATTCCCAGCATCCCAAATGGTCCCCTGAGCACTGCCAGAAGTAATTCCTGAGTGCAGAGCCAGGAGTAACTCCTGTGCATTGCTGGGTGTGAACCAAAAAAAAAAAAAGAAAAAAGAAAAAAGAAAAATAATCTGGAATACTTGTTAAAATACAAATCCCCAAGCCAGAAATATAAAATAGTGAGTAGGGTACCTGCCTTGCTTGTGGCTGACCTGGGTTTGATCCCTGGCACCATATAGGGTCTCCTGAGTACTGCTGAGAGTAATCTTAGCTAAATATAGAGCCAGCAGTAAGCCAAGTACTGCTGGGTGTGGCCCAAGTCCCTACATTTACCCCCCACCCCCAACAAGTAAAAAACAAACCAAGTTTCTAGTTGAAGTCCCAAACATGCTAATATTAGAGATAGAACAGGGTATAGGACTCTGAATTTTCCTATTTTTCAAACTTAAAAATTAAAATTTTTTGTAGGAAGGTAATTTAATTTAAGGTAATCTTCCAATAGCTAGGGCGTTACACTCACCAACTGCCCCCGGTGCCATGTAATCCTATCAATGGCCAAGACCCAGAGACTATAAAACCGAGCTCCCAGAAGCGCGTGGCTGTATTTGTGGCTGCTTGACCTCTTATTGTCTAGTTCTTGCTCTCAGAGAACCGGGCAGGCTACTGAGAGTACCGTGCCCGCACGGCAGAGTCTGGCAAGCTCCCCATGGCATATTCGATATGTCAAAACCCAGTAACAATGATGGGTCTCATTCCCCTGACCCTGAAAGAGCCTCCAATGTGGCACTTGCTAAAATCTCAGGGCTAAGACAAATGGAGACGTTACTGGTGCTTGCTTGAGTAAATCGATGAACAACAGGATGACAGTGATACAGTGAATTTAATTTAGAAAAAATAAGAGTGGGAGGGGGAAAGAGTTGTATACTCAAGAATGAACATGGGCTTTCCAAAGGGGAGAGAGACAACAGTACAGGTTGTGATGCAGGTGAATCCCAAGATGCTGAATGCCTGAATTTTTAATACTCTTCCCAATGCTTATGATGCATGTTTGCAATATAGATTATAGATTTAGAAACCTTGTGCTTCATAACAATTGCCTTAAGTTATTTTTTGGGGAAGCAAACAGGCATAAACTCTCAGATTGGGCTTGGAAGTTAGAATGCTCATAATTAGGCCCTGCATATAAAAGTGTACTCAACATAGGTTATTTTTGCTCCTTTGCTGAATGCACTATTTAACAAATAGAATACTTTTATGAGGATCTACATGATAAACTCCTTTATAAAGTTAATGGATTAAAACAAGAGTTGTTATCTCTGTACAAAGTCAGGAGAAATATTCTGAGGAACTATATTGCTCTTTTCCCCCAGAGATATTATACCCGAAAAGCATGCAGTCTAGAGTAATAACTTACCTTCTGTATAGGTGGAAGCCTTCTACTCTCTCGGTGTACTGCTTCCAGGGTTTCGATGTGCATAGCTACAATTCCTAGGATGAACCAGAGTATTTACAGTAAAACAGCATGAAACAAGCAGAATTAAAACAATTCTGGACTCTTAGAATTAAATGGTTTCAAGGTTTCTCAAAAAACTAAACAGAGAATTACTATAGGACTCACCAATTCCATTCCTAGGTACAAATCCAACATAATTAAATATAATTAAAAATAAAGACTCAGATACTTTTATATAATACTTATACTTATAGTTACATTATTCATAATAGCCAGAAGATGAAAAACAACCCAAAGTCAAAATGGAGACAAAATGTGATACATACATCAGGGTAATAATTCAGCCATAAAATTTATGACACCCACTAAAACATTAACAGACCCTGAAAATAAGTTGACATAAAAGAACAAATATATTATTTCACTGATATGCAATATAGAGAATAAGAAAAATTCATAAAAGAGAAAGATTAGAGGTTTCAGTGATCATGGTGTCGAAAATGGGGAATTATGGCTTAATGAATACCAAATTTCCATTAGGGTCTGTTTTGATAATAGTGATGATAATGGCATAATATTGTGAATGAATTGAAAATGGTTAAAATTGAAGATTTTATTACATGTACATATTTTTACCACAACTTATATTTAAAAAACTGAATAAACAAACAACAAACAGAGCTAAACTAGACAGAAGACAAGTATTAGAGGTGTTTTGCTGGAAGAAGTATCTCCATATTTTTGTGCTTGCTCAATTACTGCCAATATTCTGGTTCTCTAGTATATACCTATTGATATATATATATACCTGGTATCATGCAGTGAAGGCTTTTGATGTGATCCTGAGTAACTCCACTCTCTGTACAAACCTTGTCAATAAATCGGGTAATAAAACGTACAACAGAATTGGCAATATCATTATTTTCTGAATCTTCAAATCCACTTTCAGTATCATAGCTCTCAGCTACACTTCCTGCAATACTATGAAAGTCAAGGAAAAGATCATAATCAATATTCAAACATTAACAAATGACTACTATGGGGGTTAATTCCCGTTGCTATTTAGACTTGCTTAACTTTATTGCATTTGTTTGTTAAGTTTACTTTATCAAGTATATCCAACTAGAGGGCCCACTTAACTATATGGTTTCTTTGTAAGTGACAGTGAGATGTGACATTATAACTGCGTACATTTGGAAGTTACTATCAGGCACTGTCCTTTTGACTCAGATTTGTTTTTGTAAGGAATACACTCAACATATTACCAAAAGGAATTCAGAAACCACAGAAAATAAAGCAAAAGGGGATCACATTTATTATCTGACCATGAACCCTCCAAAACCTTATACTTCCAAGTTAACTATTGTATCAAACCAAGTATAACTTGGTTATCTTGGATCTTTGCCAAATGGGGAACATGGTCTGGGTAGGCAGAGTGGAAAAAAAAAAACCCTTTCTAGTAAACAACACATTCCTCTAAATGGAAGCGTCAAACTACCCTATGAATACTTCCACCAATATATGTCTCTGTCTGAGTGAGTCACAACCCTTTGTTGCATTTTGAAGCCACCATTCTGTTGGTGTTAACATTATGCAAGAGATGGGAATAAATCTGAAATGGCAAGGACATGAACACTCAATCCTTGCACTCATTGCTTCTTCTACTTCCACTATTCAACAAATCTTACTGCCTCTTATACTTTCTTTCAGACCGAAGACCATGGAAATGAATCATTTATCTGCTCTAATATATTCAGTATTCTTTCCTCTAAATCAACTACCTCGGGTGAGTAAGTATTAAACTAGGTAGCAAATATGGTCATCTCAGAGAAGTAAAGAACTTATGTATTTTAGCTACTCACTATTGTAGTGTGGTCATCTATAATAATTAATAATAATTAATTTAATAATTAACATGTTTATGATTTTTTGGGGGGAGGGACACACATGGGGCTACCCTTGGCTCAGTGCTCTGGGGTCACTCCCTGTAGTGCTTAGGGGACCACACAATATTAGGAACAAAAATTGTCTCCCTACATACAAAACATATGCTCAGCCCATTGAACAGTTTCCCTGGTCACTGTTATGATAACTTAAAAAGCTGTAGTTATTGATGGTCATTAACACAGATAACTTGACTAGCAGTATGAGACAAAATGGGAAAAGATGAAGCAAGATCTTAAAAATCAAGCCAATCCGTCAATATTGAGTCCTGTGAGATTCATAAGCATTAAAGGTATGGAACTGAGGTAATTGAAAAAGATTCTTTTCTAGTAGGACAGATGATAGAAGAGAGGAAAAAAAATGAATCAGAATATTTTAAACTATTGCGGTTTAAAGAAAATAACCCTATTGTATAGAAGAACTAAGAGATTTGTGCAGTTGACAATCCAGTGCAAAATGCTGACTTTAATTTGTTAGGTCTTATAGTTCATGGTTTTTCTTCTCAGGTACACAAAGTCACTGAAAAGTGGAGAATAATGATCACTGTATGACTAAAACTCAAATATGAAATTTTTTGTAACTATCTCACAGTGATTCAATAAAAAAAATAAAAAAGAACATGATCTCCCCCCCCCCCCCACAAAAAAAAGACATTACAGGAAAAAAAAGAATAAAGTTCTAATGAATAATGTAAAAAAAAAATAAAAGGTGGAGAACAAGAAATCTGTTAGAACAAGATTATTGGCAACACAACACATAAGCTGAGAGAAAGGCCAAGAGACCATTACTCTGGCAAGAAGAGTTCAATAGTAATTTTCCATAGCACAGCGGTAGGGCGTTTGCCTTGCACGCAGCCGACATGGCTGACCCGAGTTCAATTCTTCCGTCCCTCTCAGAGAGCCCGGCAAGCTACTGAGAGTATCTTGCCCGCACGGCAGAGCCTGGCAAGCTACCCATGATGTATTCAATATGCCAATCACAGTAACAACAAAGTCTCCAATGGAGACGTTACTGGGCCCGCTTGAGCAAATCGATGAACAACGGGAGGACCGACCGTTCTCTTTCTATAAATATAAATAGCAGAAAGTAACTGAAGGGTTAGATGAGTAGTGGTTGACTCTGCTGAAATATAAGGTCACAAAGGAGAAGACAATGTGTGAAGTGATTTAGAACAGTGGGATGGCCAGGAAGGTGGCTCAGAGGGCTGAAGGCATGAGAAGAAGCCAGGTCAGTCCTTGGCACCAGTGACCATGCTGGGAGTAGCCCTGAGCACTGCTGACTATGGTCCCTAAAGAAAAATAGTATAAAATTTTTGGTTCAAAATATTTGAGAGTTCTCTGCTAAGTGAAAAGTGTCTGCTGGAAGAATAGGGAGGCCTCTGTGACTATACGATTCTGTACCTGTTTGTGACAATGCTGTTGCTCCCACTCTCCCAGTCTCCTGGGGCTGACGTTCTCAGGAGCTTGTTTTTACTGGTATCGAGTGGAACCAGCAGGTTGACCATGAGGTTGGCAAAGTGAATGGCCTGACTAAAGACGGTGCTTTCCTCACGCTGTACCAACTCCTGCTGCGTTGATTTGCTCAGAGTAGGCCACAGACGTAGTTGCTCGGCTGCGAGGTCCATTGCTGTCTTCTCCTGATACTGGTCATCAGGAAGTTTATCCTAAAATATGGTGCAACAAATATAACACAACCCACATCCAGCATTTCACATGAGTATCAACAACATGGACTGCTTTAATAATTCATTTATTAAGTATCCATATCAGCAAAAATTAAAATATAAACACAAAAACAAAAAACCTAATCTCTTTCCCCATGCCAAACCAGCAGGCCTTGCATGGAACTATGTGACAAACCCAAGGCAGCAGTAGCAAAGCGCAGATAGATATATTTCTTCTTGCTAATACTAATTATATTTATCCTTGTGGTTCCATCTCTTTCAAGCTACCAGTTACAACAAATTTGTGACCCGAAGTTCCTATAAATGTTCAGATATGACCCTTCCAATAACATTTACTAATACTCTATTTTTTTTTTTCATTAGCTCTCTGGAAGAAGAAAATACAATGACTGAGTTAAAAAAAAAAAACACCACCAGACTTTCTTGTAAATTTGGGAATTTGGGAAGTAAACATAATTATTCACATAGGAATGTAGGTGACCAGAAGATTTTTAAAAGGAATTTTCTTAGAAGACTGAGAGTTAAACAATAATAGCTACCCCAAACCTACAATGCACATTTTATAATTTGTGAAATGCAGATACATATATAGTTTAATCTGCATCAAACTGGAAGCTCAGATAGAGCCTTTTTTTTTTTTAAAGAGCAGCATTGTAACTTTATAGAGTGTGGGGCACAATGCTTTAGGTGGCCAAGAGTCGGTTCCCCAGGCCTCCCCAAGCAGATAAACAAAGAGACGTGGGACCATAGATTGATGATCAAAATGTCCATTTAATGCAGAGCTGTTAGAATACTTAGAGACAACTGAAAGGGTCTGAGATATAGGACTGCACGTAGGTGTGATTGATCATTTACAGAGGTAAAGTGTGTTTCGATGGAGGCAATTCTCTTGGGGGGATTAACTCAAGGAAACACTCTGTCTCCCAGGGACAACTATATTGCTTTTCTTTCCCCCTTCAACTGTATATATTAAAAATTAAGTTTACTTATTAATACTTGTAGTTATCTGGATAAACACATAAGAAATATAGGTTCCAAAACTTAGTTCTCTGGGTTCTGAGGGCAAGGCGGCTGGGCTTCTACCGTAAATCCCAGACTAGGTCCTCAGGCTGGTTCAGTCTGTCCTTCCCTAAGGGGGTCCTGTCTCTTAAGTCATAATGGCTTGTATCAAGACCATGCTTTTACGGATTCTAGACTGTCCCATTTTAATGCTGGGGTAGCTTTGCTACTCGCCCCGGGTCCAACCAAGTCCCACGGTGGGACCTCCTTTTTGGGGTGTTAGGAACTATAGCAACTGAAGCCTGAGTCAAGTTAAAATGACTGATGCATATATATATATATATATATATATATATATATGTATATATATATCGGACTCAATGAACACCTAAATATTAGCAGCACAGAATTAATTGTCTTTCTGTGTTTAAGCAAACAACACTGGCCTATAGTAAAATATGGAAAGGTTATAGGGAAAATAGAAAAGCAAGTAATTCACTACATATACAAAAGTCCAGAATTACCAGAAGTTTTGACTTATAAGTAACCAAGACTGACTTGGGGAATGTAACAATGAGAGGCAAAGCACAAAGGAAAGGTTAAAGATAAACTCAGGGAGTTGGGGTGTTCGTAAGAGCACTGTAAGCTTCTCTGGGGGGAGGAAAAGGGGCAATTCACTAATGAAGCTAAAACACTGAAGGTTAATATCCAACAGGGCATAATTAGTGTTTTTAAAAAACAATAGATTTATATTGCAATCCTTTACTTGTTAATAAAGACACCGAGCAATGTCTTTAGTATACTATTTTCTAATAAAAAGTCAATATTCTTTCTTATATAAACAAATACACACTTTGTACTTTTATAAGTCTGTTTAGATTTTTCCCATAAATTTTCTTAATTATCAGCTGCAAAAATTTCTTGGACACCCATTCCTGGCTGAGATGTCCAGGGTGATCTTGGAGGGGGGCTGGGCAACAACCACCCAAACAAATCCCCAGAAGCTGCTCCCACACCCCAAAGCGGTCACCATGTCTCTGGGGACCCCACTACCTTAAGACTGAGTGTCACAGAAAACTTAATCTGCTGAAAACTTTAGGTACAGAGGTCTTTGTGGCTGAAAGCTCTAGACCTTTTTGGAGTCGGGATGAATGACCTCCCACCTCCCCAAACTTCCCGAAGCCCAGGCAACCACGCCACGTCCCACCACCTCAGCCATGTAAGCTCATCTACTGACCTTGTTCCAGAGTTCTAAATTTTCTAATTCTCTTCACTCTTTCTAAATTTTACAGTTGTAGGATTTACCCATTTTATGTAAACTCTAAGATGTGTTAGCACAGAATTATGCATATTAATTTTTTAAGTTTAAATGCCTTTAAAAGTAGATTTTGAAAAAAAATTTTTTTAATTTGTAGCTTTGTGAAATTCCAGATTATTTTTATTCATCTCTATGTGTGGAGGTGTCACTACCTCCACGTGAAAAAGATGTCTCGCCCATATGTGGGGAAGAAACAGAGTAAGAGAGGAACAAATGGTCAAAGTCACTGGAACTGTAGGTTTTTCCTATCAAACTGGGCTACCATGGAGGGGTGGTATTGGGGACGAGTCCTTGGGAGAGTGAAGTGGAGAGAAGTGGGCTCTCTGGTGATGGGTCTGGTGTTAGAATGATATATACATGAAAACTTTGATTAACAGTATTGTAAATCCCAGTACCTAAATAAAAATTATTTTTTTAAAAAAGGAAAATATCTGTTAAAAAGCAAACAAAGCTAGTTAATTAAAAAAATTTTTTTAAAACGAAAAAGAACAGAGGACATAAGGGACATAAGATGACATGTCTGCTTTCCAGATACTTCTGAGATACACAGATGAGCAATATGGTGCTTAAAAAAACCATCCAAAGCATCCTATTAGCTCAGCTATTTGGAAACACGGCATCAAACTAATAGTCTGAGTCTTATACAAATTACTTTCAATAAAGTGAAGCTGATGTTTTGAAGAAAAATCTGAGTTTTAAAGTAAGCAAACAAAATTGTACTAAAAGTGCACAAAAAATAATTTTGAATAACAGATGTGTCACTGTTAATAAGTTCCATATTAAAAACAGGCCAATAATAACTATTGTTGTAATTATACAAGGCATGGAAACAATACTACTATGTAGTTTCTGTTAGATATCTAAGTTCATTTATCCTAAGTAACTTTACAATGACAATGACAGAAAAAATTAGAGTATATTATCAAAGATACAGTATTTGGCTTACTACATAAAGCTCAAAAGAAATAGAAATGTAATTTTCTTTCCCAGTACTGTATTTGTGATTTTAAAACTTATTACTTTGGTATTTTCATACTGACATAAAAAATGTGTTAAAAATGTCAAAAAGTAAAATTGAAAGAGGAAAAACATCATTTTAAAAGTGAATCAATGCTGACAACCAGTCATTTTGATTTTTTTAGAGGCCCTCTAAAGCAGTGCTCAGATGGCCCCAGGATTCTTGGCCAACTGGGCTAGGGATTCAATGCAAGGGCCCACCCTGGAAATGCTAGAGGTCAGACCTGGAGGTTCTTGGGGGGACCAGGGGGTGCTGGGGACTGAACTAGAGTCAGTTGCATACAAGGCATGTGTATTAAGCTCTTACTATCTCTCCAGCCCTGATAATCAGTCCTTCTTGGTTCTTTTTCTATTTATTTAATTATATATTTATTATTTTTTACTGAAGCACAGTGAGATACAGTTATAAAATTGTTCATGATTGGTTTCAGTCATATAATATTCCACCACCCATCCCTTCACCAGTGTACATTTCCTACCACTAATGTCCCCGGTTGATAATCAGTCTTTAATGTGCTACTTTAGGTTCAATTAATGAGGATAATTTCTCACAATATTATGTATAAGTACTTTTCAATGTGCTTCACTTGTGTTAATGTTAAAATTTCACAATAATTTTATTTACCTTTAAGGTGGAAATTTCTTCTGCCCCTCTTGGAGAGCCCGGCAAGCTACCGAGAGTATCTTGCCCGCATGGCAAAGCCTGGCAAGCTACCCGTGATATATTCAATATGCCAAACACAGTAACAACAAGTCTCAAAATGGAGATGTTACTCGGCCCGCTAGAGCAAACTGATGAACAACGGGAGGACAGTGCAGAGACAGTGCAGAGAATGTGGAAATAATGCACAGGGCAGCAATATAAATTGCCCAATACCATAAGTACTGAACAATATTACAAAATTTCAGAAAAACTTAAGTTGTTCATTTAAATTAAAAACAAAAAATTTAAAACATGAATTATTCTTAAAATATTTAATATCAATAAAATATAAAGAATCATACAGATTATTCTTAAAACATAACCATCCTAGATTATTGGTATACTTTTGAGTTGAACCACTGAATTTTACATGTATTATAGTCAATTAACTCTAATTTGAAATTTCTTTAAGAAAGTTCACTGCACAAACATGTACACCTTTGTATTTTAAATTTTTTCTGTTCAATTTTCAGCAACCCTTGGAGGGGGGCGGGTTGAGTTTCCCCCCCCCGCCCCGAACAGAGCTCCGGCAGCCGAGGACCTCCAGAACCAGCCACAACCATGCTGAGACCACTCTCCACACGCATGAAGGTACCGGCAGAGGAACAAAGGCATGCGGGTCCCGGGGATGAGATCTCCAAGCCTGCTCGGATCGGGGCTGAGCATCCTCCACCCAGATCCTCCATCTTCCAGTAGGCAGGGGTCACACCCACCAACTGGCCCCCTTGCACCGTGTAAGCCCATCAACAACCAAGACCCAGAGACTATAAAACCCAGCTCCCGGAAGCGCTGGGTTATTATTATCACACGTCTTATTATCTCATTCTTACTTTGGACAACCTGGCAGGCTACCGAATGTAACCTGCCCACACAGCAGAGTCTGGCAAACTCCCCGTGCCGTATCCAATATGCCAAATACCAGTAACAATGATGGGTCTCATTCTCCTAACCCTGAAAGAGCCCTGAATATGGCACTTTTTAAAATCTCAGGGCTAGGATGAAAGAGACGTTACTGGTGCCTGCTTGAGGCAATCGACGAACAACAGGATGATCGTGATCATGATCGTGAATTTTCAGGAATTTTCCAGGGTCTTTTATTTATTAAAATACAATAAGGTGATTCTGCTGATAATGAATTATAGTACAAAATGTAATGTTGGAAATCAACAGAAAAAAAGATCAGGACAGCTCTCCTTCAAGAGAAACAGTGGTACAAGCTTTCCTTGAAGCCAGAACTCCAGTTCCACCCAACATCTTTCTTGTCTTCTCCTACCTTATGCTTCAGATATGGCGCATGATTGTCTTCCTTGGCCGAGAGATAGAGGGAGCGAACCTGCTCCTGCACCGCATTGTAAAAAGTTGTTTCCCAAAACTGCTGATTCGTCCAAATAGGGTGGTCCTGTACACAGGTGTAAGCAAACTGGCTGACTCCAGGGGCCAGTTTCTAGGAGAAAAGACAAAAACATACCACCATGAATTGGGATGGCAAAGCTATGTAAGCTCAAAAGGTTACAGTTATCACAGGTTAATCACAGATCCACAGGTTTTTTAAAAACAGAAATAGCAACCACAAAGACACTCTTTATTTTTATTCTTTGACTAAAACACACAACAGTGGGGCTTGGTAAGGTTTGGGGGCACTTCTGGTGATGTCTGGTCCATTGAATGGCATACTGAATACAGAGCCTGGGGGTTTAGAGCTCAAGCAGGTGCTTTGAAGATTTTTGGTGCTAACTGGCCACTGTGGACTTGCTCTCTTAATCACTTTATCCACTTGAGTCAGGCTTTTAGCAACAACTAGAAATCAAAGTTGTTACATGAAGTAGAAAAGTTTGAGTATTTATATCATGTAACAGAAGATTACTGCAGAGCAGGTAATTTTTTTCTTTTTGGGTCACGTCCAGCGATACTCAGGGATTACTCCTGGCTCTGTAGTCAGGAATCACTCCTGGTGGTGCTCAGGGGACCATGTAGGATGCTGGGGATAAAAACCGGGTCGGTTGCATGCAAGGCAAATGCCCTACACGCTGTGCTATTATTCTAGTGCCTAGAGGAGTTAATTTTTATTTCAATTAAGACATACAATAAAATAGGTGATGACCTAAATATAAAATCCAGATAATTTTAAATTTCTACTTGGTTTTAGGCTATATTTTTCTGGAATCGCTAACTGAAATGGGAGTGAGCCTTTGGTTGCTACTAAAGAATAAAGGCATATTATGAACCTGAGACTCAGAGGGGCTTGCAACCTCTCTACTTCTCAATGAAGTTCTTTATCTCCCAACCAAGGCTGATTACAATTTGACAGAGCTCTAAAGAAGTCTAATGAAGCCTTGCTTTTCTCCATTAGCAGCTTTCATTCACTTATGCTACAATATTCATCTTCCTTGGCTAATAATTAGTTATCTTTCTGTTTGCTCACAAACTAAATGTGAATATGAAAAAATTACCTAAAAATTAATATGAAAAAATTCCCTAAAAGTCTGCCAAAGTTTCAAAGGATTATAACATAAACATTTCCTAGGTAAGAATGATAGCAGGTTCATGAAGTGATTTCTGATGGCAAGACAGTCACAAATGACTATGATATTTGATATATGGATAGAAACAAATCCCCAAAGACTTAAAATATCATCAATTCTCCAAGCAAGAAATTTTATTCCTATTGTTGGTTTCTATATCTTCTCAAATGGAAGCAAGGAACACTAATTCCCTGCCTCTAAGGTTGGAGAGGGTCACTTGTACTGATGGACAGGTGTGTTCTTGGGGACAGCAGGGGGCAGTAGCACTTTATTTGGCCTTGATTCCATCAGGGTCTGAGACAGGAATTATAAAAATAGAGATTTACAATACGGTGCAGGGGTTAGAAACTGGGCTATAAGCTGAGTAATACTGCATGCCCTCAATGTATATCTGAAAGACTGTAGAAAGAAACTGGACTTCCCAAAGATCACACAACAGTATGGTAGATAGGATTAGAAAGAAGGTTTCCCTTATTTTATCTTGTTTCTGTAAGGTAAAATTCAAGATAGGATGCCCCCATTTTTTGTGTGTTTGTGTGGGTGCCTCCAAAGCAGTGTTCAGGACGGCTGGGAGCACAAGTGGTTTTTGGCCAACCTGCAGTTCAGCACAAGGAACCAAGATGAGATGCTACTTGGGTTCTGCTGTTCTGGGCATACCCACGTCACCTGGAAATGATCAATGTCGTCAAGGGATGTACCAGGTGATGCTAGGAACCACATGGTGCTGGGAATCAAGTCTGGGTTGGGTGCATGTCAAGCATGTGCCCCAAAGCTGTACTATATCCCAGTCCAGAGCATAGGGTGTGGGCAGTTGTCTTGCACTAGGCTGACCCTGGTTATATCCCCAGCACCCTATATAGTCTCCTAAGCACTGTCAGGAGTGAACCCTGGGAACAGAGTCAGGGGTAAGTCCTGAGCACAGCTGAGTATGCCTCTCTCCAGCCCCAAGAGATATTTTACAAAATAAAACTATAAAGTAGTTCATCTGAGAAATATGTAATGAGACTAGGGATTTAGATTCAGTATATACTGTGACATAAGCACCTATGTATAAAATCATCTCCTGATTCTAATAATTTCTTTCATCTAATGACTTTCCTAAGATGATTTCACAAACTACTACAAAATGCCAATTTCATGATCTTTTATTTTGCACGAAGATAAGACTCAGAGAACAAAGGTGAGGGTGGTAGTGGTAGGAAATAATCCCTTGATAAGTGACATCCTTTCTTATGATTCCCTTCAATTCTGCCAGTGATAGTTTCATTATATAATGAGCCTTACTATTCTATCCTAAAGAAACAAGTGATATTTTGCCATACAATTTTATGAGATGTCTAAGAATGTGTTGACTTCCTTATCTACAGAAAAGAGCCCTGACAGTACTAGATGAAGCAATGTCATTCATTTTCAACAAAACATTCAAAGGAAATCCAGCATGGGGCAGGATATGGAGGAAAAAACTCATGGGATTTACCATCCAGTTCAGATTCAAGTTGAAATAAGTAGACACAAATCATCTCAGAGATAAATTAGTCAAAGAAGAAGTTAAAACGTCAGTATGAGGGGACTGTCAAAGGCTGGCTTCTGCTAAGACTTGTTGGTTTTGGGCTCTATTAGGAAGCTCAAAGGGAAATCAGATTTCAGAAAGCAGGCTAGAAAGACTGAGTTTACAAATACCTAATGGTCTTAAAAGAAAACTACAGAATACCAAGACTTGCTGTTTAAATAGTAGCGAATTTCCATTTCTGGAAGACAAATGTGCCTCTCTGCATGGTTCAGGGGCTCATGGTTCAGTCATATCCTTCTATGACTACACTGGCCTTACCAAATTCAGGTAGTGAGTCACTATTATAACCGATTTCAGGGCTGGAGAGATAGTACAGTAGGGAGGTACTTGTCTTGCGTGAGAATGACTGGATTTGATCCCAGGCACTCCATTTTGGTCCCTAAGAACTGGCAGGAGATCCCTGAGCACAGAGCCAGGACGAAGCCCTGAACAAAGTCGGATATGGTTCCAATTCCCCATCCCCCATTTTTTTTTTTAGTTTATTGGGTTTATTTACTAAAACAGAATAGTGATGTTTAAAACTTTTTACTTTTTTAAAAATTTTTATTAGTGAGACACCATGAGGTAGTTGTAGACTTACAAATTTTGTACTTGGGTTTCAGTTATACAATGATCAAATACCCATCCCTCCACCAGTGCCCATTTCCCACCACCACGGATCCCAATATCCCTCCCACCCCCCATCACCCCCATCCCACCCTGCCTCTGTGGCAGGGCATTCCCCTCTATTCTCTCTCTCCTTTTGGGTGTTGTGGTTTGCAAAAGAGGCAATGGGTGGCAATCATGTTTGGTCTATATATAGTCTGCTTCTCCCATCCTGGGAGGATCCTCCAACACCCTTTCTTTGGTGCTCCTTTCTCTATCTGGGCTGCCTTTTCCCCTAGGATGTGCGGCTGGCCTCCAAGCCATGGGGCAAAATCCTGGTACTAATCTTGGTCATTCTTAACCACCCCCCCCCCCCAAATTTTTAGAGAATTTGTTTTGTTTTGGGTCATACCAGGGTGTGCTTAGGGCTGACTCCTGATTCTATGCTCAGAGATCACTCCTGGCAGTCTTGGGGAACCATCTGTGGTGCGGAGAATTGAATCTGGGTCAGCTGTGTGTAAGGCAAATGCCCTACCTGCTGTAGAATCACTTCGGCACCTAAACTAGTTTTTGGGTGAACTTTGGGAATACTTAGTCTTGAAAGACACCACTCTCTGCCCCCCATCAAAAAAAAACACAACAATAACAAAACACATTGCCAGAAATAAATAGGAAACATATTAAAAATCTGTCTTAAGTTTATTATTTGTCTTTGTTTTGGGGCCACACCTCACTGTGCTCAGGGATTACGTCTGGCTCTGTACTCAGATTACTCCTGGCAGGCTTGGGGGACCATACAGGGTCCCAGGGGTTGAACCTGGATTGGTCTGTGTGCAAGGCAAGTGCTTTACTCATTGTACTATTTCTCTGCCCCCTGTTTTAATTTTCAAATAAACCTTAAACAAATGTGCTCTGTGCATTTTTAAAAACCAAAGACAGAAAGACACCATACATATACTAAAAGCCTATTAAGTGCATCTCTGGAATCTACTTGGGACCTGTAGGAAAGGTAACAATGATCCTGTGTTAGATATTTCATTCCCATTTATTATTATTTTTAAAGAGTCTTCCTTCCCTTCCCTCTGTTGCTGTGATGACTGGGGTCACTCACATGCCTGACAATGGTGCTTGCGTATTTGGTTGTGGTACCCACACAGTGGGTATGGTGTTCACTGAACAGTATTCTCCTTTATAAAGTTGTGGTGCTTGTACATGCATTATGCCACCTGCCAGACAAACACTGATCACTGTGTTGTCTCTCTGGCCTTCTGTTATCTTATATGCCTTCCTTTCTATCCAAGTTCACGTTTCCTAGATAAATTTTCCCATGTCATGTATATATAAAGTATGGGAATATATACATACATATATTTTGAATATCTAAAATCTGTCACTAACAGAATATAGTCCTGGTCACCTGACTTTATCAATTTAGATAATTTTATCCATTATTTCTGGCAGTGGGCTGGAGCGATAGCACAGCGGGTAGGGCGTTCGCCTTACAAGCGGCCAACATGGCCGACCCGAGTTCGATTCCTCCGCCCCTCTCGGAGAGCCCAGCAAGCTACCGAGAGTATTCGATATGCCAGACACAGTAACAACAAAGTCTCCAATGGAGACGTTACTGGGCCAGCTCGAGCAAATCGACAATCAACGGGAGGGCCTTTACCTCGAGTATCCTTAGCAAACTTTTTTGGGGGGCCACACCCAGCAGTGCTCAGGGCTTCCTCCTGGCTCTGCACAGAGATTACTCCTGGTGGCGCTGGG